AACTTAAATTAAGAATTTGGTTCAATTACCTACATAATATCAAAAATTTTACGTTTAAAAAAAACATACAAGTTTGGTTTTTAACTCCATATTAAGAATGATCATCACAGTGTTTAGATACGGATAAATACCAACATAATAGAAATGAACATAAATTAAATAAGAAATTTGTATCAAAAAAATATATATTTGAGAATTTAATTTTATTAAAGAAAAAATGATAAAAAAATGAAATTAATTTTAATTCAGATTGGAACTTGCAATAATTTATCCATAATCAGTTTAAAAAAATATTCTAAATTACTGTTTTAATACGGTTTCGTCATGAAATACTTCAAAATTATGCCTAGGATACTCGGTACCTATATCTATTTTGGTAAATGCACAAAAATACTGATTGGAAAACCTCACAGTAAGAAAAAGAAATTTCCTTCAAGTTTGTTTGTATGTAAATTTATACAATGTTCTAACAACTAATTTCCGTTTTCATTAGACCACGTGCATCGAAACTGTTTATCGAGTTTATTACTGTTGGAAATGCAACCAAGGTGGCATTATGCATTAGCGTTTATTTGCTCGCGGTGTTCTTTACGTCCCGTCCACACACGCAGCCAGGCACACGTCATCGACGTATTTTCCTCCATCATGCCATCAGCCATGATGAACGCGTTTTGTTTGAGTTAACGGCTGCGTAATAATTTATTATGAGCCGCACTGTTCTTCACACCATTTCATTAAAATCTCTTATTACTTTGTACGTAATAAATTCTTTCATTAACACTCTCACATGAGATATAGAAGTACCCAGATAGGTACTAAATGTTTTTACAATTGTTATAACTTCAAAACGTGGAATTTTTTGCGTAAAATTTGGAATTCTCCGAAAATATAAAAATATTACGTAAAAATGTTTCAAGTTTCAATATTCAGAGCACCCTAAAACTTTATAGCTTTAAATTGCCCTAAAAAGTTTATTGTAGTTCAAGTCGGAGGGCTTCTTGGCTTTGCAGGGTAATTGGAGCAGTTTTTTGCGTAAATTCTCGGAAAGTTAATATTTTTACAGCGTTTTTAAATTTACAAGTTACGTTTTGTAAAAATTATATAAGTTTTGCATGCATTTCAGTAAGTAGACAGCTAGGGGAATATTTTTTATTGCTACAATTGCTCTAAATATGCTTATGATTGCATAAATACTTGGAAATTTTATGTTTTTATTGAAGTTTACGTACAATTACTTTTGAATTGGAAATTTTTAACGTGTTGTGACAATTTGTTTGCTATCAGTTGAAGAAGCATATTAGCATATCAGAAGCAAAGCCAAAATTAAAAAAAAAATATTCCACTCAAAAGCTATGCTAAGCTAATATGCTATAACAATTAATTTGGCGACGATTTTGATACCGTTTGAGTAAAATTTCGGAAACCTGACAATTTACATCACAAAAACCCTTCTAACACTATTTAAATATTATACAAATATCTAAAATAGCTTACAAGAAGAAGTTTTATTTTTATTTTTCCGATTAAATATGTTGTTAAGGTTGGAAATGCGAAAACCCCGTTTGTGGAAACGTTGAACATGATTAACTTATTTGCGTATCGATGGAGATTGCTTGTCATGATTTTCTCAACATCAGATTTTAATTAATATAGGTAGGGTAGACTGGGTACGGTTGTACCATTTTTAGATTTATGCCTGTAGGCTTAATAGGATTTTACTTAGCGCAATGGTACTTGTCATAGTTTAATGCCTAATCATCTGGCTACGTTTTGCCCATATTTTTAATCCCTCAAGTTTACAAGTACCTTCATAAATCTAAATTTTGTTGTGGGTGAGAAATGGTACAACCGACCTCAGGCCTCAGGACGGTTGTACCAGGGGTGGGGTCGATTGTACCATACAGAAATAAAACTTATTTATTACAATAAACGTATTTATTACAATAAAGAAAACACTTTTAAAATTATACTTAAATGTCCTGCTATGTGTGCAACAATATAATTAGTTGGAATCACAATTATTGCATACGTAGCTGGGTTCTCCGTCTGTGCATTGCTCATGAGCCCAGTTCTTACACTCAATATACACTCATAGGCATTGATATAAGCGCTATCATCATGTTGGCCTTTTCCTGTTTTGCGAATACGTACTCGTGGCATCTAATATAAAGCAAACGTTTTACGTTTAGAAAGAAAAAGAAATTTTACTTTAAAATAATACAAGGCATGGGGTCGTTTATACCGGTACAACTGTCCCCATATTATTTGGTACAACCGTCCCCATGTGGACATTTTCCAAATTATATTTAATTATAAAAAAAATAATAGGGATACAAGAATTTGATTAACATACCTTTATTCTTCAAAACCATTTATTTTCAATAAACACACACGTATAATATAACACGCAAGACAAGATTAAAAACTAAAAACAATTCATCATCAAATATTTACTTTTGATCTCAAAAATCAAAAACACGTCCTACACGCGTGTAACTGGCTTTGTGTGACTCAACATACAACTTACATACTTCAACTTGTATGCGGCTACTATCACTCCTTGAAGGCATAGGGCTGTGCTCAACTGTTCACGAGATATTTGCTTTGGTACTACCGTACCCAGTCTACCCTATTAATATTTTTGTTATAAAAATTTTTCACAACTCACTACACACTTCACAAATCACTACAAAATTAACATGCAGAAACATTTTTTAAAAATTATTTATGATTTACCAACATAACTATTTTAATAACGAGGTGGGTAAAGGGCTGCATCGCTAGATTCCCAAAAATAATCTGTTTATTAGCCCCCAATGAAGTTCGCAACCATCAATAAATAAATAAAACTTATTCGAACTTTATTACATCGTATTTAGACCGGCCTGGGCCTCTTTCTACCCTCTGGTCAGTTTTCGGTTCGCTAGTAAACGCGACCAGTTCATTTACGATTCACAATTAGCCATAGCCACACCAACATGCCGTCAACTTCAACATCTTCTACTTCTTTGAGCCCTAGAACTCTATTTATTATTGTCACTGCAATATAACCACAACGTTTTGGTTTGCATTGCTTTTTGGTAGCTCGGCATTTTTGTGCATTTTTGACAACTCGGAACTAATCGATTCACCACTCTGCGACCACTCTAGCCACCACCATTTGGTTTCATCTTAGCAGGAAATTTTGATAAATCCGTTGCACGCTTTAACAAAACTTGCATAACAAAACTCCCAGAGAACGTTTGTATGAAACGACGCCAAAGGGTATTTTCTTAAGAATTCTATTGAGGAACAAAGGGGCGTAACCACAGTATATTGTAAATTATGTCTTGACAAATTTGCTTACAATTACTTTGACGTAAATTTTAAATTTAAATTTTAAGATTGAAATATTTCATATAAATAAATACAAATAAATAATTCAATCAGAATTCTTGTTTGTGTTTTTTATGTGACATCAACTCAACGATAAGATGAATACGCTGAGCGTACATTTGTTGTTCTAATATGCATTGCAAAATTTAACAGCCTCCTATTTAGCCATGTCACGCAAAACAAGTGTTACTTTGCATGTCAACACAATACACACGCACAAGAACAAATCACATACAAATGTGGCATTGTCTCAACAGCCAGTTTTATGACATAAGCTTCGAGATCAATTAACAGCGCGATAATGTAATAGCCATAGAAGAAGCTGTGAACAAATACTGTACGATTCCTAATATAAGAAATGCTTACAGCGTATGCTAATAATATTGAAATGTTGTAATTGGTTTGGAGTTGAATACACTCCGTAAATGCATTTCGCACGATATGTGTAAGTCAATTATGAAACGCTTAACATATAATAATTGCCGCTGTGTTTTAACTTTAATGCCAAATTCGTAAATAAGTTGCTTGTTGTAATAGCGGTGTTAATTGTTTTAGTATCAGCGGCGCTTAAAAACATTGCTAATACAATACAAATGATTGTAATCGTCCTAATAATTCTAATACAATTTGTATTATGGAGGTTTTTTTCTTCTAGATTTTCTACCTAGTAATATTACTTTTGTATTTAATTTAAGTCCATTTGGATGATTACCAATGCAAAATGTTTTTATTTTTATTATATAGGTATAATCACTAGTATAATCACTTAAATAACTTTTTTGCAATACGTATTATTTGTTGATAATTGGAGTTGAAAATGTACCTATTTGTTCATATGACAAGTTATTAATTATTAAATTAACATTTTCAAAATATATTTATTTTTTAAATTGCATGTTTGTTTTTTAAGCAATTAAACAAAACGTGTTACAAACGTGTCATTTAAAAAATATATCAGAATACAATAAACAATCAATTCAAGAATTTTTTGAGGTACTTAATGATGCTAAAATATACATCAAAACATGCAAAAAATATTAAAAACAAATTAATTGCTATAAATAAATAATTATTATCTACCTTTTTATAAAAAGAGTAATAAATTAATGAATATCTTTTAATTATACTACCTAAGTATTAAAATTTGATAAAATTTACTTTTATATGAATGCATTTTCAATTATTTTAACTTAAATTTTACATTTAAAATTATAACAACAACATTTCATCACTAAAAACACAATATTTGTCGATTTTCGATAAATTCCAGATAGAAATATCAAAATCTATAGATGATATCCTCTACGGAAAGTCAAACTGGTCAAATTTTAAAGTCACTAACTTCACATGATCGGTGATAAAATCATAATTTGCGCCGAGGATTGCCGGGAATTGAGCTATGATGTACGGTAATGTACGTTATGGTTGACCGCGATGCTCAACGCGCATACTCACAGTGATAAGCAACTATCGTCTTTAAGTACAACGCATGTAAGCAGAATATTACCTGCGCGAATCACAGCGTCGGCCAATCGCAACGCTCACAGCCCTCTCCCCACACCAAAGCGCAACAGGTATAAAAGGACCCACAGGGGCGAATTTTCATCATTCCGCTCTCACGTTCAAGTTCATTCGTAGTCTGCTTCTTTCGTTCGTTTGGGCCGTGTTCTACCGCAAGTGCAAATAAATTCAGTGAATATCAACTCTTATCATAATCAACACAAATGGATACGTACAAAATGAAGATGTGCCAGGATACTACCAACAATAACACCAATTTGGTTGATGTGATTCCACCGCATTACAATCACCTTCCAAGTCCGCCGCAATCACCGGACGCTAATCAACATTCAAATTCAATCGGTGAGTTTTTAAATCTTGAAAATTTTATATAAATTTTTATCTAACTATTTTTTGTATTTTTAATATAGATATGCAACAAAATGAGCAAAATATGCGCAGATATCGCACAGCATTCACCCGCGATCAGTTGGCTCGCTTGGAAAAAGAGTTCTTGAAAGAAAATTACGTGTCGCGTCCAAGACGCTGTGAGCTCGCCGCGCAGCTGGGTCTTCCGGAAAGCACAATTAAGGTGTGTATAATACGATGCTTTTTGTTTCTACCAAAGTGTGAATCCGTGCGCCTCGTAATTCAATTAGCACCAGCGTGCTAAATGTGACTAATGTCGCTTTTTGAAAACCCGCGTAATATTAATGTTTACGCAAGCAGTGGCTTAAACCTAATGGACATAATCATCGCTTTTACGCGCATTTACGGCTTTATTTAATTTTCTGTTGTTTTTTATTGTTCAGGTGTGGTTTCAAAACCGTCGCATGAAGGACAAACGTCAAAGGATGGCAATCGCATGGCCTTATGCTGCTGTTTACTCTGATCCAGCTTTCGCTGCTTCCCTGTTACAAGCCGCTGCATCTACGTTGAATTATCCATCACCAACACCGGCGCCTACCCCTGCATATACTAATATGCATAGTTATTCACGTTTTCATCCGTATTCGCCGTATGGTGTTGGTATGGGTTCTGGAATGCATCATTCGATGATGCATGCAATGCCTGCTGCTACTCAGCTTAGTCAACTACCACAAATGCAGCAAATGCAACAACTGCCACAATTGCCAATGCATCCGCAGACTATTCCAGGATTACACATGGCGTTTGATTTTCCTTACGCTGCGCCTACTAAATACCCGGAGATGAGCGCGAGAGTTTCACCTAACTCACCGATTAGCAGCTCTGATAGCAGCTTGAGTCCGTCGCCTTCGGATGGTTTACTTATGCCTGTGCCTTTGAATGTTTCACCGCCGCCGACTTTTGTTCCTACTGTGCTTCCGCAAACACAAATCAAGGGGATAAAGAACCGAAATTATTCAAGCCTTACACGTCTGATGTTTAAATCAATAAGTTCACGCTCAAGTTTAAAAACTTTAGATTAATTAGTCAAGTTATTTATTGACATTTACGAAAATTGTGATTTTGAATTAGGATTAATTTTCTATTGTGACATACCTACATACCTACTTAATGACGAAGAATGAACAAATTATTGAAAATAGATTATTGTATTAAATTCTATGTATAATAGAAAGTGAAATTATTTTTGTATATATTATGCAGAATTTGTATTTTTGTTGCTTTTCATAAGGCATACTTGTTGAACAAAACTAAGAAATAAATAATTTATTTCATTTTATGGCAATCATTTTGTGTTAATTCGTGCTTTAATTTAACTTTTAGCTTTTCATATCCATATCACGGGGTATTCTACAAAATCATTTTTCCACAATATTTTGAGCCATTTTATTGATTCAATGGTTTTTGAATAATAAATGATTAAAACGGTTAAAATGTGTTATTTAACTTACTCTTACTTTGTTGCTAGGGAAAATTACAAATAAATGGATTAGATTTACAAAGTTTACACGCACGTACCTAATATTAACCTCAAAATTACAAGATTGGTTACCGGTCAGATCACGCATGCGTAACATATGTGAAGAGCTGGAAGATATGTTTTACCTTTTGTATACGGTTTAAAGTAGGTACATTTACTTGCCTATAAATAAAAATATTGGTATCTATGTATGTTTCTTTTCACTATTTATTAAGATATAACCTTTAAATTATTTTAAATCAAACATGTTGGTAGATACCTATAACTATTATAAAAAAATCTTTCATGGAATAATGTTTTGAACAATTCCGTCATAATCCATTGAATCATTGATTTGACTAATATCTAAATAAATACTTACCTAATTAGTGTTTTTATTGCTAATAGACATTGGATTAATTTGTTGTTAAAACCACAAAATACTTATTTATTCAATATTTGATATATTACAAACCAAACAGAAGTAACATCATAACAAGATTATCATGGAAACTGCGCACTCGCTGAGATTGCACCGTTTTGATTTTAGCTTTACCTATCACCTAAACTACGGAAATATGAAGAAAAAAACATATGTTCCTAATATCAATTCAACAAAGTAATGGAAGAAGCAACAAAAAATTACCCCAATAGAAAGAACTTAAAGAAGTCTTTAAAAACTAATTTTGTGTTTTATGACTACGGACGCACATTTGAAGCTCCCCATTAAACCGTTTGTCTATTCGAATTTATAACGGAGTTAAGTGGCGCTAAAAGAAAATTTCCGTAGCCAAAAAAGTTACGCACTTTGCCTTGTCAACTACACAACTAAATCAAAGCAGAGAAACGACTAGGTATATAATTATAAGTTGAAACAATATTTTAGCACTCAGCGATATGCGTATGTGTTTGTATGATTTATTAACAAGTGCATGAATAAAATCAGTAGCCGATTAATGTTCTGCCAACGTTATACTTTTTACACGCTGAAGCAATAAAACGCATCAAACGTTAATACTCGTATGTATCCGAATGGTTTGAAAACACTTTTAAACGCATTAAAAGAAACTAACTTTTTAAATGCGACTCGCAACCACTCAATTTAAAAATATTAATATACACTACTTCAAAGTGAAAACGCGTCGTCAGTCATTGGGTATAAATAGGTTTCTGAGTGCTTTTAACTTACTGAAACCCAACCAATAATAAAAAGATCTCCGCCGAGTAACAGTTACTGAATTGAGGGGAATGATCAAACGCTAATGTATAATGCTCACGTAGTCGGTAATACGTAAAATTTCTGCGGCGAACGTGTTAATTGCAGACCATGACAAATCATAACCAATAAATGAAGTAAATCAGTAAGGTTGGTTGTGTTTAGAGAGTTCGCCGCGTCGATTTACAACTTTTACGCATCGTTGATGCATTAACCGCATCGGCAATCAGGAGAGAATATTTTATATGCGCCCCACAAAACTGACACCGGTGGAGCAGACTGAAGTAGCGGCGGTGGTTGTTAAAAGTCCGAGACGAGTTCAATGGTAATCCATATAATAAACCGCCTCGCCGGGTTTTCAGTATGGCAAATTGGAGACATATTTCTACACAATGCCTTCAATAACTTCAGAGACCCTTTAGTTACTTTATAGTTTACGATTTAGAATTGCAAACTGAGCTCAAACAAGCCCGCAAGTTGAAAATTTCCAATGAGTTTAATTAACATATTCTTCTATATTATATTTGGTTTTGTAGATTAATTTTCTATTATTTAATTTGTTTTATGAGGAATTATTCGATTCTTTTAGATATTTGTTTAAAAATTTATAAAACTTCTGCTTGTAATTTTGAGCCTGAACACTAGGCAACTCAATATACACAAGTATGGCACGATCCCTTCCAATATTTCGTTGCACGGATATAACATTTCATCATCCACGTGTGATGTACATAAAGAGGCATCTGGTCTAATCGGCTTTTGCTTATCTTTGAGTGAAAAGTTGGCAAACCGGACGTTTCATCATCAGCATATTAATTGCAATCACATTGCGCAGGGAAGCAAAGAACGTGCGAACGTCACGTAGTGCGCTATGAAGTTAACCTGCTCTAAATCATCACCACCTTTGGGTAAGAATATAACATATTCAAATCTATTTTAAGAGATTTACCGGCACCGAACTTAATAATAATTTTTCATGTATTTCTATCAGGTGGTGTCTTGTTTGCATCTTATTTAAGCTCTGAATTCAACAATTCTATTGAAATATTTTGGGGCAATGAAACCATCATTGAGAACAATGACCAGAAACATTCAGCTGCATCCACAGCTGATGTCTGCAGGTTATTGGCAAGAAATACCAATGAAAAGTCTTTCTATGGAGCTGATGCACTGGAGAAAACTGAAGTTGATAGTTGGTTGACTTATGCTCAGGGTCCATTGCTTTCTAAGAGTGATTTTACTGGTGGTCTGGAGTATTTGAATAAGTCACTTGCTGCTGTTACTTATCTGGTAGGCAAAAGATTGACAATTGCTGATTTTGCTGTGTTTGCTAGTTTATATGCTAACAAACAATGGCAGGGTTTGTTGTCAAAGAAGGCTGCACCAGTTAATGTGAACAGATGGTATAATTTTATGAAAAATTTACCAGCAATTGCATCAGTTATTACTTCTTTATCAGAAGAAATTAAATCTGCTTTGTCTCCACCTATCTCAGGCAGACAATCTTTAGCCAATCAGAGTACAACTGGAGAAAGAGCCCAAGAAGGCAAATTTGTTGATTTGCCTGGAGCTGAAATGGGAAAAGTTGTTGTTAGGTTTCCTCCAGAAGCTTCAGGGTAAGATAAATCATACATTTTTTTACACTGAAACTAAAATAGATTTTAAATTTAGTTATTTGCATATTGGTCATGCAAAGGCAGCCTTATTGAATCAATATTACCAACAAGCATTTGAAGGCAAGTTGATTATGAGATTTGATGATACTAATCCAGCTAAGGAGAATGTGCACTTTGAACAAGTCATCCTGGAAGATGTGGAAATGTTGGAAATCAAGCCGGATCTATTCACCCATACTTCTCAATATTTTGATCTTATGTTGGAGTATTGTGAGAAGATGTTAAAAGATGGTAATGCTTATGTTGATGACACCAATCCAGAATTAATGAAGGAACAAAGAGATCAAAGGATGGAGAGTGCTAATAGGAGCAATTGTAAGTACATAATTAATTAATATTTAAATAAATTTAATAGCAATTACCTTTGTGTAGCATATGAAAAGAATTTATCAATGTGGAAAGAAATGGTTGCTGGAACAGCCAAAGGACAACAATGCTGTGTGCGTGCTAAGATAGACATGCAAAGTCCAAATGGTTGTATGCGCGATCCTACTATCTACAGATGTAAAAACGAAATTCATCCCAGAACTAAAGATAAATACAAGTATGTTTTTATTGTAAATTTTAAATCAATACTTATTTCGAATTGATTTTAATAGGGTGTATCCAACTTATGATTTTGCTTGTCCAATCGTCGATGCAATTGAAGGTGTAACACACACTTTGCGAACAATGGAATATCACGATCGTGATCCGCAATTTTATTGGTTTATCGAAGCTTTAGGATTGCGCAAACCTTATATTTGGGAGTACAGCAGATTATCAATGACTAACACTGTGTTGAGTAAACGTAAACTCACTTGGTTTGTTCAAGAAGGACTTGTTGATGGATGGTAAACAATATTTTCATCAAAAATCTATTTAAAAACTATAATTAAATGTTTTTTAGGGATGATCCACGTATGCCAACAGTACGCGGTGTTCTCCGTCGTGGCATGACTGTTGAAGGTCTTAAACAATTTATTATTGCGCAAGGTTCGAGCAGATCAGTCGTTTTTATGGAATGGGATAAAATCTGGGCGTTTAATAAGAAAGTAATCGATCCGATTGCTCCTCGTTATTCGGCTGTGGATGAAGATTATGTTCCTGTAATAATTGCAAATGTTAAAGAAGAAAAAGTTGAAGTACCTAAACATCCGAAAAATGCGGAAGTTGGTTTGAAGGATGTTTGGACCGGTCCGAAGATTCTGATTGATCGCGTTGATGCTGATGCGTTAAAGGAGAATGAAAATACAACGTTTATCAATTGGGGCAATATTATGATCAAGAAAATTAACAAGTTTGTTATTTAATAACTTCCAAACGATTAGTAACTAATTAATTAATTAAAAATTCAATATAGGTCTGGTGGTAAAATAACGTCAATTGAAGCCGCAACGAATTTAGATAATAAAGATTACAAAAAAACTTTGAAGCTTACTTGGTTGGCTGAAACATCGAAGGCTGAGTTTACACCGACGTGGTTTGTATATTTTGATCATCTTATGAACAAACCATTGCTTGGCAAGGATGAAGATTTCAAACAGTTTGTTGGTCATGAGACAAGAGTAAGTTTTATTTATTTATTTTATGAATAATGAATTAAATTGATATTTATTTTTAAAACAGCGCGAAGTTAAAGTTCTTGGTGATCCTGAACTTCGCAAACTTAAGAAAGGCGACATTATCCAAATCCAGCGTAAAGGCTTCTTCCGTGTTGATGTACCATACAAACCTGCGAGTGAGTTTACTGGCGTAGAGCAACCAATTATATTGTTCTATATTCCCGATGGTCACACGAAAGAAATGCCGAATGCCAATGTAGCTGCGTCCAAAGTTCAAACCACTAGTAAAGTAAGTTTTTAAACTTTAGTGAAAGTACTATGTAAATTAATATGTTGTATAATATCTTACAGAAAGACAACAGACAAGCCAGTCCTGCGTTGGCATCGAGTGAAAGTAGATCAGCGGTTGTTATAGATGCTGACATTACTAAGCAAGGTGATATTGTACGTACATTGAAGTCGCAGAAAGCCGCCAAAGCTGAGATTGATACAGCAGTTAAAACTTTACTGGATCTTAAAGCTGAATACAAGAAATTAACTAGTTCTGATTGGAAACCGGGATGTGTACCGGCTGCATCGTCAAGTCCTGCAGCTGGTGATTCTGGTAGTGGTGATCTTGATGCGAAAATTACTGCACAAGGTGAGAAGATCCGCAATTTGAAATCTTCTAAAGCCGATAAAGCGACAGTCACTGCTGAAGTGAATATTCTTTTGGCTTTGAAAGCGGAATATAAACAAAAACACGGTAAAGATTGGGCGCCTGGTGCTGCAACCACAACTCCACCGGTTGCAAATCAAACTAATTCAGAGGGAGATATTTTAAATCAAATTACAGTGCAAGGTGATAAGATTCGAGACTTGAAAGCGAAGAAAGCTGATAAAAGTGTGATTGAAATTGAAGTAAAATCATTACTTAGTCTCAAAAATAGTTACAAAAGTTTAACAGGTAAAGAATGGAAACCTGGTGCTGTCGCGACTACTCCTAGTGTAAATTCTGCTCCATCAGGTGCTTTAAATGAGAATGATCTTTTGAAAAAGATTGCTGAACAAGGTGATAGAGTTCGTCAGTTGAAGGCGCAGAAAGCTGTGAAGTCAGCTGTGGATATTGCAGTTAAAGATCTATTGAGTTTGAAAGCTGATTTTAAATCAGCGACAGGTAAAGACTGGAAACCAGATATGGCGCCAACACCACCATCAACCAATACAAATCAAGTTCAATCATCACCTGGTAATAATGATGAAAATCAAATTTTGAGCAATATTGCCGCACAGGGTGATGTTGTACGTCAACTTAAAGGAGCTAAAGCAGCAAAAGATTTAGTTGATGCAGCGGTGAAAAAGTTATTAGAACTTAAAGCAGAATTTAAAACAGTGACCGGTAAAGAATGGAAACCAGGAATGGTCCCGACCCCGACTTCTCCTGAAGTATCAAATACTTCTTTGGTTGTTAACACCTCAATGTCCGATCAACCACAAAACAACGATTTAGTTGATAAAGTCAACGCACAAGGTGAAGTTGTGCGTAGCCTGAAATCAGCGAAAGCTCCGAAAGCAGAAATTGATGCTGCCGTTAAACTTTTGTTGGATCTTAAAGCCGAGTACAAAAATACAACCGGTACTGATTTTCCTGTTGCGGGTAGGACTCCAACCAAACCAAAAGAGGCCAAGCAACCCAAAGAAGAGAAGGTAAAGCAGGCGAAACAAAAACCTGCACAAAAAGAAAAGAAGCCTGTTGATGTAGATGAAGCAGCCGGTAAGAAACAAACCCGTCTGGGTTTAGAAGCTAAGAAAGAAGAAAATTTAGCGGATTGGTACTCGCAAGTCATTACCAAAGGTGAAATGATTGAGTATTATGATGTTTCTGGCTGTTACATCTTTAGACCATGGTCATTTGCTGTTTGGGAAGCGATTAAAGATTGGTTTGATGCTGAGATTAAAAAATTGGGTGTTCAAAATTGTTACTTCCCCATTTTTGTATCGCGGTCTGTGTTGGAGAAGGAAAAGACCCACATTGCTGATTTTGCTCCTGAAGTTGCCTGGGTTACCAAGTCGGGGGATTCTGATATGGCTGAACCGATTGCTGTACGTCCAACATCTGAAACAGTCATGTATCCAGCCTATGCTAAATGGATTCAGTCGTATAGAGATTTACCGATTAAACTAAACCAGTGGAATAATGTTGTTGTAAGTACTGTTTTTCTTTTTTGTATGCAGTTTTATATTAATTATTTTATAATATACAGAGATGGGAGTTTAAACATCCGCAACCTTTCTTAAGGACACGCGAATTCCTTTGGCAAGAAGGTCACACAGCGTATGCTGGATTAGAGGAAGCTAAAGAAGAAGTTGCTGTTATTTTAGATTTGTACGCAAAGATTTACACTGATTTATTAGCTATTCCTGTGGTTAGAGGGCGTAAAACTGAGAAAGAAAAGTTTGCTGGCGGTGATTACACTTACACCGTCGAGGCTTTCATATCAGCAAGTGGTAGAGCCATCCAAGGTGCGACTTCTCATCACTTAGGACAAAACTTTTCGAAAATGTTTGACATTGTCTACGAAGATCCGGAAACACAGGAAAAGAAACATGTCTATCAGAATTCATGGGGTATCACGACACGTACAATCGGTGTGATGATTATGGTACATGCTGATAATCAAGGATTAGTATTACCTCCACGCGTTGCTAGCGTACAAGTCGTTATTGTGCCTTGTGGAATCACTGCCAGTTTGTCTGAAGCTGACCGGAAAAGTCTCCAGGCCTCTTGTGATCAACTCGAGAGTGATTTAAAGTCTGCGTCTGTTCGTGTTCAAGGCGATTATAGAGATAATTATTCCCCTGGATGGAAGTTTAATCATTGGGAGTTGAAAGGTGTGCCCATTCGGGTTGAGCTTGGTCCGAAAGATATGAAGAACAATCAACTCGTGGCGGTAAGACGTGATACCGGCGAGAAGGTGACCATCAAGCGTGCCACTGCCATTGAAGATTTACAGAAGATGTTGAGTGATATTCAAAGCAGTTTGTTCAATCGGTATATATTCATTGTTGTGATTTTACTTTGTTATCATTAATTGTTTGTGGTATATTTTCAGTGCCAATGAGGATTTGAAACAACATTTGGTTACTTTGAAGGATTGGTCGCAATTTGGACCGAATCTAGACAAGAAGAATATCATCATGGCACCATTTTGCGGTAAAACCGATTGCGAAGATAGGATTAAAGCGGACAGCACAAGGCAGGATGCAGATGCCGAGCCGGGAGCTCCGTCAATGGGTGCAAAATCTTTGTGTATTCCTGAGGAACAACCGGCAAAAATTACGCCACAAGATAAATGTATTCATCCTCAATGCAAAGACAAACCCTTGTTTTATACACTATTTGGAAGAAGTTATTAAGTGTTTGAACTGAAGTTTGTGTTTTAATTTTGCTTGTAACTTGATTCGTTTTAATTCAGACTATAAATAAATTTCAATAAATATAAAATAATAATAACAAAATTAGTTAGTATGTTTTGTGTCAACTTTGATTGAATATTTCAAGACAAAAGAATAAACCGAATAAGTTTTTGTGATTCAAATTTAGAAAAGCTGTTATAACCTATAAATGGTGTAAACATTTATCAAGTCCTAACAGGATGCTTTAATTATCTGTTAATAATACACTATTAAACCAAATGCGTGTGTCTTTTCTATAAAAAAAATATCGGTTATCATGTTCTACATTAAAATACTCTTTGCCATATTTATACCCAATGTTTTAATGTTAAATAATGAAGATTATTGTGATAAGAATGGTCTTGACTGTAATAAGCCAAATATTAGGTAAGTTGCATCAATTAAAACTAAAGAAAATACTGTTTCCTTATTTATATTGTAGATATATGTTTTATGATGTTAATCCACCAGAAGGTTTCAATTTAAGAAGGGATGTGTTCATGAGATTTGCTATTTTTGCCAGAAAGCTATCCAAATCTTCTGATCCCAAATTACACAATTTTCAATTAGTGTTACCACCATGGTCCAATTTGCATCATTGGAAACATACTGAAGAACCTGAACATTTACCTTGGTCTTTGTTCTTTGACTTGGGAAGTTTACAAAAGTTTTCTCCTGTGATTGAAATGCATCAGTTTTTTACAAGTATGTATAACAATTATTAAAATATTTAATAAAATAAATTCAAGTGAAATAATATTGTAGATTTAGAAAGAAATTATGGCTATGTTAGAATTGAAGATGTTTATGTGTTGCAACACTATGAAGACATGTTTTCCAGTGGAAAATTTGAGGAAAAAATGAATATTTCATCATGTGTCAAAGAACCCACAACTAATTTCTATTATTATCAAAATGTAACTTCAAATAACATTAGATGTTTATCATTTCATGGACATACCTCCCAACTGACAAAAATACTCAAGGAAACAAATGCTCAGTAAGTTTTTTTTAACAAAAGTTTGTGTAAATGTTATAAATATTGAGTTTATATTTCATATAGATCAATATATTTTGATCATGGAGAAGTCGCACTTCATGATCGCTTCGGTGACTCGATTTATTGGCAGTGTCGACGAAGTATGCGCTTCAACAAGGAATTGGTCCAAATTTCAAATGATTACCGCCAACGATTTCTCAACTCTACTGATATTACTGACAAAACTGAACTACCATTAGACTGGCGAGACGAAAAACAACACCGTGATGCGATTGGAGGTCCGTATTTATCTGTTCACTTAAGGCGACGTGATTTTGTTTGGGGTAGACCAAAACAAACGCCTAGTATTGAATATACCGCTGAACAAATTCGTGAAAAACTTATGGAATTGGCATTAGATACTGTTTTCATTGCTACTGACTCACCGCCGAACGAATTCGAAGAACTGAAAAGTTTTCTAACCCCTGACATTAACGTATTTCGTTTTAAACCCAACAAAGAAGTTAAAAAGCGTTATAAAGATGGCGGAATTGCGATAATTGAACAAATTATCTGTTCTCATGCGAGATATTTCATTGGTACGTATGAAAGTACGTTCTCGTTTCGTATTCAGGAAGAACGCGAAATTATGGGTTTCCCAGAAGAGACTACTTTTAATAGATTATGTGGTAATGATGAGAGTGAATCATCATGTGAGAAGACAACAAAGTGGAAAATTGTTTACTAAGGAAACAAATTTATAAAGTTTTTTTATTGCATAACAATCACCACAATGTGTCAAAAATGTGCCATTATTAACCAGAATATAAGTAAACAATTTATATTGTATCAATATTAATAGAGTTCAACTTGGTTTGCTGCTACTTTTACCAATAAGTTCTTGTTCTCTCTTTAAATCAATCTCTTTCTGTTGATTTTGCAAGTGATCAAGTTTCTCTTTGTGTTGCTGAAGCCTGAGAGCTCTCTTCTTTAACTTTATATTTTTGTCATGCAGCATTCTCATATCTTTTTGATATTTACTAGTTTGTTGTGATAAGTGCTGATGATGTCAAACATTTTCTGCAGTTCAACTGAGTTTTGCGTCCATGACACTTTTAGATTTTCATCATGTAGTTGTTCCAGCAACACCTCTTGCTTCTCTCTATAAGAACAATTAATTTTGTTAATTAACTACAGTGTTATATTATTTAAATAAGTTTATTTACAATAATTCTCCAAGATTGTGTTTGGTTTGTTCTAATGGAGGTTTGAAAATCCCAGTAAACCCAGTAGTCAGTTTAGTTATAACTTCATCAGGAAATATCTCTTTGTGGTTACTACAATTTATGTAATTAATTAAATTAGCTTGGTATTAATTGTTACACCTACTTTTCGGTTTTGTTATCATTATTATTAGTTTGCACAGCCTCAGCCATTATGGACGAAATTTATACGTTGGTTTAGTTCATTGAAACGTAAAATTCAATAGTAATGCAGAAATTAAACAAAAACTACGGGGTACGTTTTTATCTTGTTATCATTTCTTGTTTACGTTTTCATTTGACGTATGCAAGTTTAAACCTAACCTAATTTTATATCAAAACAGAAATTCAAAATTACTTGTCATCCATCCATTGATTTACAAATAAATTACAATCATGAACGAGTCTTCTCGTAAAACTGTTCGTGGAGAAGTTCTTAAACTTATCGAGCAGAAGGAACAGTTAGAAAATGAGATTAAAGAATTACAGAATATTTTAACCAAGGTATTTTACTCAATCAATACAACTTATTCATATATCTGTAAATAAATTGTTATTTTAGAATAATGTTGGAATGGATGAACCTTTGGTGGATAATGAAGGGTTTCCACTTGCATCTGTTGATGTCTATCAAGTCCGACATGCAAGGCAGTTGATAATTTGTTAGTTAACATAAACTAGAATAAATAAGAATATATATTTTAATTCATTGATTATTGCAGGCAAACAAAATGATTATAAGGCAATAATGAAGCAAATTGAGCAAGGCATTGCACAGTATTATGATAGTCCACCTATGGATACATCAGATCTCTTAGCTGCAGCACTTGAAGAGATGCAAGCCAATGTAAATCAAGTTAAACATGAAGAACCTGTAGAACATGTGCAACCATTTGCATCTGTGAATATTGTTCATGAAGGATCTCCTGCTGATGCTGCTGTATATATACACATATATTTATTAACTCATTTTTACATATAATGTATTTCAGGGCATTAAACAGGGGGACACTATTGTTGAGTTTGGTTCGATAAATTCAACAAATTTCAGAGGCATTGAAGACATTGGATCAGTTGTGCGTCATTCGCATGGCAACGCAATTATTGTTAAATTGAAGAGAGGAGATCGCTTCCTGCGTGTTCAATTATTGCCTCGGGAATGGAATGGTAGAGGATTACTTGGATGCAATGTTTTGGCATTATAAATTATTAATATTTCTTTTGTGAAATAAAATATATTTCTTTTTGTAAATCTATGTTTTTGAATGTAATAGACTTGTTACCAAGGATTAAAAACAAAACAATGTTATCAAATGAATGGTGCCCTGTCAAAATAAACTATGGCTTGACATTTTTGCAGTCATTGCATATCAAAATTCAAAATATGAACAAGATCTTCCAGAAAACACTTTTGATTCTTTTGGCATTCTCGATAAATTACTTGTTGCATTTTCTAACATATGTTACATTTTGTAGCGACAAGTGGAAGAACTGCTACGTCTTGAATCAATGCGTTAATTAATATCCTAAATTAACAGCCCCGGCATTACCTGTCATAGCAACGTGCATGAAATGGATAATCGCTGGAGTCCCGAAATTCAACATGTAGCCGAGATTGTTAAAGGCAAGCTATATTTTGCCGTCACATACAACGACGAAGTGGAACCGATTAAGAACACTTTGGATATCTTCCACTTTAATGTGGATGACGAGTATCAATATTTTAACTACTACAATGATTTTGGCCCTCTGAATGTTTCCTGCTTGTACAAATATTGCCTCAAGTTGCACTCTTACATGCAACATTCACAACTCAAACGGATTGTGCATTATACCTGTAGTGATCCGGATAAACGTGTTAATGGCGCATATTTGCTCGGGTCGTATTGCGTTGTGTTTCTGAGCATGGAACCAAAAACAGTCTATAAGAAACTAATGGACGCTGGCGGAACATTCAAGTAACTTTGCGTTTAAATGTATATTAATACTATTTAATTAATATTGTTACAGGCAATTTGTTGATGCATCGCAAGGGACATCAAGATACACTCTAAAACTTATTGAGTGTTTGCAGGGCATTCACAAGGCATATATTCTTAATTTTATCAAGTTTGACGATTTTAGTTCGTCCGAATACGACTTATATGACAAAATACAAAATGGCGACTTTAATTGGCTCGTGCCAAGAAAGTTTTTGGCTATGATTGGACCTTTAGACAAAGAAGTGACGCCTAATGGTCACGCGCCTTCGTTTTACATTAAATATTTCTTAAAAAATGACGTTACAACTGTGATAAGACTTAACAACAAACTTTACGATTCTTATGTGTAAGTTTCTTTATATACATGTATATCTATCATTTATTAATTGGATTTGATAGGTTTACAAATGCAGGGATAGCCCATTACGATCTTTTCTTTCCGGATGGTACCACACCTCCAAAGCACATCCTGTTGAAATTTTTACAAATCGCTGAAAATACAAGTGGAGCGATTGCTGTTCATTGTAAAGTGCGTATTGGTACAAATACTTTATTAGATTTGATTTAATATAACTTTTTTATAGGCTGGTTTAGGAAGAACTGGTTCATTAATTGGAGCATATATCATGAAACATTACCAATTTACTGCGAAGGAAGCAATCGCGTGGATGCGAATGTGTCGACCAGGCAGTGTCATCGGACAGCAACAAGGTTGGTTGGAGAAAATCGAGCCGTGGCTCTGGAAAGAAGGTCGCCAATACCGTTCGCAACAATATGGCGACGGTGATAAGCTTCCCCATCACAAGTTTGGCATTTACAGCAAGACGTGGCAACAGAATCGTAAAAAACATCTAATGAAAGTACACAAGCGAGCGATGTCTGAAGGCCCAAACCGCAATTCAATGCAAGTAGCAGATGAGGTAATGCGGGTAAAAACACCAGATGGAAATATGTCGAATTTAGCATCAAATTCTGGTATAAGCAACAAGGAGAACCTTGGGCCACGTCGGTGTGGACAACAAAGCTACTTAGACGCGAGAACACAAGGTGACAAATTGAACGAAATCAAGATGCGGGCATATTATAATTCGTACGTGTCCAATCACTCAAATGCGTGTTATGGTCGAGACGTCGGCTCACAAAACATGTTGGCAAATGATCAAGCATTACTTTATATGCCTACACAACCACTGCGACCACCTGCATATCGTGGTATTCCTAATGTAGCATCCTATGGCACTAATGCCAAGATAAAACAATCAGTAGGAAGTGGCATGTACGGACATGCATCAAGAGCAAATAGAGTAAATATGTATGCCGAAGCGGGAAATTAAAAGAAACGAGGAACACGTCCTTAATTTCATGTTTACAATTAAGGTACATTAAACTCATCATTGCAGTAAAGTTTCATGCGTTTGATTCAAAACAAAACGTGTTATTATTTGCATATCAAAACGGTTATTCCCCGTTTCGTAAATTCTTAGAACGCGATAAACTATATATCTTAAAATGTGCTTTTTGTTTCACATTTACTTGTCGGTGTTATTGGATTCACGTAATCTGAGTAACCTATCACTACAGTTCAATAATTAACAGTTTAATACTGCATAAAATGTTTACTAACAAAATTGATGGAACTGATGATTTAGTTAGTTGTATGCGTAATTAGTGTAAGTATAAATAGTGTACAAATTACAAACATACAATCAGTTCGTAAAGAAAAACACAAGAAATTCAAAATGGGCAAAATGTTGAAGTTTATGGTATGTCTATTCCTTAAAATTATATAATATACATTATTACGACTGTTTTTTTAAATGGTTTTATGTTTAGATAGTTTTGGCAGTTGTTATTGCCGTAGTGCATTGTGTCCCATACGTAGGTGGTAATGGCGGAGGCCATGGTGATCATGGAAATTTTAATGTAAGCAGTGGTCATGGTGGTGGACATGGAAGTAATCATGGAGGCAGTGGAGGCCATCAAGGAGGTGGCGGCAGTGGTAGTGGGCATGGACATAACCAACATGGCGGTGGTAGTGGGTCAGGTGCGGGAAATGGTCATGGACATAATCATCATTAAATTAATTTTGAATGCAAACAATTGTAACGCTTCATTCTACCAAACAATAAATATACTGACACACAAATTGTACAGGACTCCTGCCCTTAGCTTCACTTTTCTACCACCGATTTTCACATGTATATGCAGCTCACGTCCAGTTTACCATCACCACTTTTGGCGGGTTCCTTGCAAATATAAAAGAACAACACGCAGTAAGTCCAGAGCTTAGTTGTGGCTGAATCGTCCAGTAGTCGCAGATCTTTAGCTCTTTTGCATCTAGTCGAAACGCGCAAGTGTCCTTTATGTCGTTCACCCACCCACCACTATTCGGAATAAATCGCCTCATTAACATCTCAAAACAATCGCAATCGTTTATTTGCTCTAAATGAACGGCTAAATTTATATTAACATGGATTCATGGTCAAACACGTGTGATCAATTAATTAATTAAATATATAATAATAAAGAATGCTATAATTGCAAAAACGCTTGTAAAGCTATCTATATAATATGTATAAAGTACATACATTATAATGGAATATTAGGTATAGACTTATGTGACTCAAGCTCAAGATCATGTGTTCCAATTAGAATATCTCGGTGCGTCGTTTTTCATACAGGTTGAAGGCATTACCAAAAATAATCGCCACATAAAAACACCTAAAGTTATACATATCAAACTAATGCTAACAACGTGAATGGTTATTGCGTAACTCCTGGAATAATACTCTGGTTAATGAAATTGTTATTTGAAGTGTTACGTCTTCAACCTGCAGGTAAAAATCGCGATTCAATGGTTTGTATAAAACAACGAAATCATCTGTGTACATAATTATTCCTCTAACATCAGTTTCTTTATATATATTTACACAATTAGCGCCCTGTACTGTTCAGCCAGTTGTTTTGTTTCTTTTTCCATATGCGGATCTAATTAATGTTACTATTTCCATTACTTTTCTATCTCTAAACCCTCATATGAAACCCCTTCGGCGTCGGTATTATCAGTCCGCGCCTTTAGATGTTTAACTGTATTGTTGAAATGCTTCGTAATCTGTTCGGTCTCTTCCGATCCATCTAAATTGGGAATCTCTTCCTTAATTTTACTTATCAACTGGTTTAATATCTGCACGCTGACTTGATCATTACCATTTTCGAAGAAATAAATGTAATGATTTAACAACTCGACAAAAAGTTGCACTTGCACGCTTACATCCATACATTGATTGGCAATTCGCACTCCTTTCTTTAAACATTCGACGACGCGCTTGCCGTTACGCATTTCCTGCTTGTTTGTCGCTAGACTTTTACCGCTCCAAAATAGATGCGAGCATGTGGCTACGCCACGACATTGATCCGGCTTCTTTAATAACTTGGAAGCAGCCAATGCGCATTGTGTTATCAATGGATCAGCGTTTTCTTCCGAGAAACAACTGATTTTTTCTAATGTGCCAACGATTAGCGTAATGGCCGCCAACTGGGCTTTCGAGTCGGATATTTCATCTTCGTACAAACTAAACGCCTGCGACATGAACTCATACGCAACCGTTTCGTGATTATCGAAGCCGATTTGATCAATAGCCAGCGCACCTTGCAAGAATAAACGTAATGGCAGTTCAGCTAATTCAGCTTTAACCAATGCGGAAATAGTTGAGTGACAAAATTGGAAAATCTTCTGGCATTTCTTCTCCCAAACTTCATCTTCGCTCTTGATATCGCGATATTTAAACGCCAGTTGAAAGGCTTGAAAGACCAACGGAGGTAGAGTATGTTTAATTCGCTGTTGTCCACCGGCACCTAAGATTTTCCTCGCTGTGTTCAAAATTAAATATTGTTGGTCCGCAGAGTCGCTTTTGAATTGATGGATCAGTCTTGCCAACAAGCTTTGCTCCTCCGCTAGTTCCTCAGGATCAATTGGTCCGCGTGGCTGGTCGCTTTGATCACTGACAAGCGTAGCAACCAGACTCAATGCCTGTTCGACGCCATCTTGCGTAGGTATAATCGTCTCGCTATCAAGTGTATTGTTCAATATGTACATACTCATCGATTTCCTTCCATAATAATCCAAATGTTGCATCAGTGCGGCATAATGGCGCAATTTCAATACAGTCAGAACATTATTATAGTGATCCACAGGTATTTTCAACAATTTCGCCAATTCTTTTGCGACCATTGTATTATTCTCAGATCGTTCCATGCCAAACAATTGAAACATCTCGACACTGTTGAGCATTACCTTATCAATGTAATCCACACGCTCCGGATAACATTTGAGCGCAAGATTAACCAGCGCAACCTGTAACGCAACCATATCCTCCGGTGGCAAGTATTGTCTCGTTGAAATAATTGATGATATCTGCTCGGAGAATACCTCAAACAGTTGTACATCAGCGGGAAATTCTTGATTTGTATCATTACCGCTTGTCATTCCAACACCATCGGTTCGTTGACTGTAATTCGCCAGACGCTCCATCATACTAATAACAATATTTTTAACATTCACTCCGGACTCTAGTTCTGCGCATGATTTCAAAAACGGATTCAGGGTTTGAATGTGAAATTCGTCAGGAAACACTTGAATAATGCATTCCATTAGATATTCCTGTGCGATTGCGTCCCTGCAGCTGACGACTTGTTCCAAAATTCCCGGCAATACAGACTTCTGGTACTTTTCTAGCGTGACAGATTCTAATTGACTTAGACGTACCAAATTCGTCCCGACTAATATACGTAACTCTTCACGTTCGCGCTCGCGATGCTGGCGTTCTCTTGAATGCCCTTGATGCTGCATTCTCACCCAAAGTTTGTTCATCTCTGCAAAGTTCATAAGAACAAAATCTATTGAATCTTTGACTGTACCCTCTGGAGTGTCTTCCATGGAGTCTGGTACATCAGGCAAGACATTTCTGGTGCACTGTAGTAAATAATTTCTGAGGAACAATCCTCTTAGTGGATGTTGAACACCTCTGCACATCTCAACAAGATCCTTCAATAGATCTCTTCTGAATGATGGATTCGTCTTGATGTAAACCAATCCAACTGTGATTAATAGATATAAACGAGGTACTATATTCCCAGCATACTGCACTAACTCATACAAATCAGCAACTTTTCTGCCTTTTTGAAACTCATCAGTGAGGAATAGCTCCATGTGCCTTAACTCATCAGTTACAGCCATATCTGTAAATCACATGATAATTTTAAATAACTATTTTAAAATGTAAGTAATAAATAATTTACATAATTCATAGTAGCTTTTGGGTGATAGCAGTGAAGTCCTCAGTTCACCCAGCATGAGACTGGCTGTCTTGAGTGCATCCATCAACTTCTCCTTGTCCAGGCATCTCTTCATTTGAAACGCCTGGTTTTTGACGATCGCCAGCGCTTCGTCGAGCAGTTTTTCCTGCTCCTCGACGGGCGACGACTGTTGCGGTGTCGTCGGCTGCATTCACATGAAAAAAAACACATAGTTGTTATCAGACGGGTTTATCAACTAATCGCAACTAATTAGAAGGCAGTGTCCAACTACTAATTGACACCCATGTCTAGGTTATCTCATTGCGAACGATGAGATCATTTACCGATATGTGGCTGGAAAGGTGCGCATAGTTAACGTTCCAGTTGTGATTTTGAAACGAGCTCATCTTTTCGCGAACATTTGAACAGTGAGCGACGAAAAGCATTAAATTGTACACACTTACCATTTTCAGATGTCAAACACAGTGTTTTTTTGCGCGAACGCGCGGCGTTGTCACGTCGTCCGTCGGCCGCTGCTGGCCACTGCCTTGTCACAGGAATGTAAGCAGGAGAAGTCAAGCAAGCACAGGGTCATCGAGAGGCAATCGCTAAATGAACATAAATCAACAATTATTTTCATGATATCAATCCTATATGGAGTATTAAGTTGCATAATATTGAAAGTTTTTTAAAACCGTTTTATTTTATCTTTTATTACAGTTAGCACGGCGATACTACGCAAATATGTCATCTAAGTAAATATTTAGTATAGATTAAGTTATCAGACGAATTCAGGTACTTTTTAATTTATGTTTACTTAATGTTGCTGAAATAATCAGAAGTTGGGTTAGGATGTTAAATATAAGGCAACAATGCATAAATAATAATTTATTGATGTGGCTACCTTGCAAAACAAGAATAATTAATATACAATTTGCACTAAATGTATAAATGCTTTATAATTGCTGCATCAACTTATTTTGCTACCATCAGGTTCATTTTTTGCTGCTTTCATCAACTCATGCAGTTGCAAAACTTGTTCCTCACTGAACCAATCCAATTCCTTCATGTTCATCTGCCTGCCAAGTTGTCCTTTGCCTGTATTTGGTCCTTTTACACCAAGTTGATTAGCTATGGTCACTGCATAATCCTGAAAATGATGAATGTTCAATTAGATTTTTATTAATCACACGAAATTTGTATATAGTTACTGTCCACTGATGCATAAACACCATTGCCTCCTCATTTGTGCATTTTTTGTGTAGTTTAAATTCACTTTTTACATAATTATCACCTAACACTTGCATCTCCAATGGTAGACCGCGATGCAAACGTAAAATAACTTTGTATAATGATCGTACATGCTGCACGTGCGTCGTCATTCTTTTAATTTGTTTGCATTTAATGGTATATTAATAAGAAGTGTAAATATTTCTGTTTAGCAGCTCTTCAACCTAAAGTTGTGCCTCGGGTAACCGTCAATGTATGGTCAAAACCGTATTTTGTCATTTAGGTTATGAAATGTTTTGCTTTTTATTAAAAGATCGTGAAAAAATAGTTCTACGAAAGCATTAAAATGAACTCAAGTTCACAATTTGAAGCTACAGGTTCTTCCAGCACATCTGCTGAATGTAAACAAGGCATTAAACGAAAAATGGTTCATAAAAATATTAATTTGAATTTGAATGCCATTACTGATACTCAATGCACATCCTCAGGTATACAAATTATTAATAAATTATTAACTGAAAACTAATTATTGAAATACTCATCATTTATATAGATCATACTCCAACACCTACAAGATTCATCAGAAACTGTGAAGAACTAGGTCTCTTCCAAGATTTGCAGAATGTAAATCCATTTGAAGAGGGTTTCAGAGAAGCACTGAGCAATCCAACAGTAAACAATAAACTGTGTCCACCATTATCAGCTACAGATAGTAATAATGATGGCACTCTGCATACACCTAAGATTTTACCACTTATTTATAATGCTTATTCATTGCCTGAGACAACTGAAGAACCCTCTAAATTAGATAAATCATTCAGTGATGATGATGCTGATCCTGACTTTAATCTTAAAATAAGTCCAGATGAAGATGAATCTCACAATAGTGAGAACTTGGCCTCAGAATCAATTGATATAACCACTGATAAAGATGTAGAAGAGGTGCAGGATGCAAACAAAACTCAACAAAACTCAGTCAGTATTAAACTACCTAGAAGCTCAACTGAAAGGCGTCGTGAAACAAATCGAAATGCAGCGCGAAGAGCATACAAGCGCCGATTAGAAATCTCACAAGAAAAAGAAAAAGAAAGAGAAATGTTAATTCAAGACAATGCACAACTAAGGCAGGAAAATGCATTGTTATCAATCGAAGTTAAAAATCTGCGACGACAACTACGGACGATTTCTACCAAAATTATTTTAGGACAACACATAAGTGCACAATGCGAAAAGAGTATTGAAGAGTCAACTATGATAGAAGAGAGTGTGGTTTCCGAGGTGCCGGCTAGTACAGCAGCTACACCCCATACAAAAAAACATAGAATATTATTGCCGAAATTACCTATATTTTTTAAATGATCTTCCAGTCAGTAGCTACTAGCAATACATCACATGTCATAAGCAATATTTTGCATATTATACATAGGTACATATTTTTATTTTTAATATTTTTGGACTCAATTTTAATAATTAAAATATTAAAACATTAATAGCATAATTACTTTATCTGCATATATTCAGTGTCTGGCATCAATGCAGAACTATATTTTGCCTAATGTAAGATATTTTTTAAACTAAATAATTTTAATGTTTCTTGTTATTTTTAAAGGTTTTAATGCTAGTTTAAACTGTAAACATCAATGTTTATCTTCGAGCGTGCAAATGAATTGTATCTAGACAAGAAAATAGACTAATATTTGCAAATTTCCAAGATTTTGAAATGTATAGTCACATCTATAGTTCAACTTGGTTGGTTGATTTGTATTAGTTCTAGACGCTTATGACAGAGGGCGCTACCAGTACAGTTTCTGTCATTTTTTTCAATACATAATTTAGTTAGTGAAGAAGTTTGTTTTGCAAAATGAAGTCGTCAACGAAGTCATTTAAAGTATTTTTGCGATTATTTAGTAGTGTTTAATAGTATTTCTATCATTGCATCATTTGCATTGCGCATTTGTTTATAAATAAACGTTGATTGAATGCGCGAATCAACGAGGAACGCAAAACCTCCGAAATGATTTCATCCAGCGCGCTCGCTCCAGGTAGGTACCGATAACCTTCCTCCGCGCCGCTCGCAAGACTTTTGTGGACTTTTGCTTACCTTTTGCCGCTTTTGCTTTCTACGACTTTACACCGTCCTTCTTCAGCCCACACCATCTGCGCACTGCGCGCCCGGCGCGACTTGAGCAACTTGACTCGCTGCGCTATAATAATCATTTTGTATACCTACTCCGCGGCGCGGCTCGCGATTAAATTCTCGTCGGACCAGTTGGGCAGTTCATGCAGTTGGTTTTAAGACATCGCCGAAGTAGCGTCGCGCCGCGTTGTCTCCGCGTTGTGTTCCGTACAACCCGTAGGGACGCCATGGAATAGAATAATGACGGCAGGCGACGATCGAAGAAGCGCATCGCGAATCATCGACAACGATAAGGGCCGACCGAAAGGGCCATGTGATCAACGCGCAATACACTCGCTGGAGTAAACGATATAGATTTATTTTACACGACTGCTAAAAGAAAGAAGTACGTGCTTTTAATTTATAACTTGCATATATCTACGAAAATTCAAATCGACGTGAATTGCCATCGGTGGTGGCTGGGCAACAACAAGACTGATTAATATTTAAGTGTAGTGTTTCCAGTTGTGTTTCAAAATCGAATTCTTCGTCTTGTTGTCCTTTCGGTATTTTAATTCAAATACTGTGATATTTTCCGTCCGTGGTGGAATATAAAATTGTATTATCTGGATTATACGCACGAATCTTTAGTCAACTTCAGCGAACGCTTCTATAATTCTTATTGGAATAGAAAGAGGCATTATAGAGTAAATAGTAAAGGTGAGTTTCAATGAAGCGGAGTATTAGTGTACTCGTATTATGCAACTGCGTTGAGCTTATATTAACGCTGGAAGTTGAACATGTGATTCGAAAAAAAGTTTTAACTACTAAAACAGGCACGGTTTTTATTATTACATTACTTTAAAGGTCATTTGATACAAGATCATAAACAATTTTAACATATTAATATAAAAATTGGTTGAAAGTTTTTTTGTTGCAAATTTAGTAATTACGACCTTGAATTATTCGTTTGGTATTATTTATAATCGAATGGGTAAAAGAGGAGAATTAAAGAGTTAGGGAACAGAAGTTAGGTTAAGAGCACCATGTTTAATTCGTCTTTTTAATTTTTCAATTTTTTTCTTTTAATTTTTACAGAATTTGTTTGAATAAACAATGACGTCATTTTGAAGTCAAAAATAAGTTTGCATATAATAAACTAGCTTTTGCCCGCGACTTCGTCCCGGTAGTATTGTAATGTAATTCGTTTTTACTCGCTTGTTCTAGACATAGTATGTGTCAATTATATCAATAAGATTCGAATTTTATTTTAAAGAAATTAATTAAATAAAGAATTGCTAATAATGCACTTTAGCGCGCCATCTAGGATTCAACTATTTAACTATAACTATGATTGAATCTCAATGCCAACTTTTATTCTATAGAAAACGGCTGTCTTTTGAGATTTTCTGGCAAATATTCGAATTTTTCTCGCCGTTAAAACCATCCTTGGACTTTAACAAACATTTAAAAAAAGAATTGTCCTAATTGGTGTACTTATATAAATAAGTAATTTGTCAATGCAGTGGAACGTCGGTAATCCGACAATCACTTTGCAGAGCAGTGTCGGATTACAGAAAACTGCCTAAGACCCCTTACAGTCCGGAATTTTTTTCAAAACAGTACCTTGTAATCCGACAAATTAGAAATCCTAAAGTACAAACATATGGCATATGACCATGTCGAATTACAAGGTGTGCCGGATTAAGCCGTGTGCGTCATTTTTTTCTTTCCGAATTATTTATCAAACTTGACGCAAAATTTAAAAAAATCTTGAAAAAGTTTGATTTATTCTTTATGTGCCATTTATGGACGACTAAATTTAAGCACTCATCGAATACCAATGCAAATCTCTCAATCGATAGTTTACTGTTTGTGTACACCTATAGCACAGTGAAAGACAGCGGCCAGCCCTGACTCACTTACCTCAAGTTTGCGATTTTTCATCCGGCGTACTTTCTAACATACCAATAAGTCATCTGCGATTTTGCTCATAACTTGTCTCGATGACTTTAAAAATGAGAAAACATTGTGACTCGAGGGCAGAGACCAGAGAGAAAAGATCTCTATGTATGTGGTGCCAATTTGTGTTTTGGTTAACTTGTCGGCATGACTAATAATTGTCTATAATAAGAATAAATTATAGATTTTTGCATGTTTCAAAATTAAATTTCAGATTTATTATTGTACACCGCAAATAAATAGAATATGTGATGAGGAATGGGACTGTAAATAAGAATGAGTGGTTTTTGAGTAATCATAGTTATTAATTCATTTTATTTAATTAGATTAGTTATACAGGACGAAGAAAAAGTACGATCAACTTATCATATATTATTATCTACCGAATTATTTAGGCACTTCTCAAAAATACAATTATTTTCAGTTATTTCTATAAAATTTCTATCTCGTAACACATTTAATAAAAATTGGGAAATTCGCCTTCAATTTAAAATTTATTAATGTGTCTAATAAAAACCGCTTAGCGAAAAGTGTTTTACACTGCGCATTAACACCGGAGAGGTGATTTGAATGCGTGCTTGTCACCTGCCAAAGCTTCACAGGTTTTATTTTTTTTGACAAAATTTAGTCAATCGCCAATTTTGATGGATAACATACAACATTGTGAGGTTTCCTAAAAATCCGCTTAAATAATTTTTGCCTGAAAGAGTAACAAACAAACAAAATTGCATTCGCATTTATAATATTAGTTGCTCAAGTCGTTTTAATGCTAAATGAATAAATAAAAAACATTTTTAAAAGTTCATTCGTGGATTATGCCAATATCTTAGGTATTAACTTTTTATCATATTTGTTTCATTATACTTACTCGCTATCCTCCGAAAGTCGACTTTTCCGACTAGTGAACCACTAGTTAAATCCAGAACATAATACTCTCCCGTCATCTTAAACAAACTTAGATTGAAATTATGCAATCCAATTAATTCTCGGGCAATAATCATCTCCGTATTCTCCAGGTGCACGCTTTGAGCTCAAATAATATTCACAAAGCGCATTCGTCTCGAAATTTAATTAAATTTCACTCATATGGTGGTCCAGCGCAGGTCTTGTACGATTTACTTACAATTTAGCACTTAACAGCCACAATAGCGCCTGCAAAGGTAATGTACTGTGAGTAGATAATTTAAAATTAATTTGTTGAGCGGCAGGCCGAACAAGGAAGCGAAGCAGGCGAACGCGAAACAGCAAACCTAAACAGCGCGCCGGCACCGGTGCAGAAAACACAGTGCTCGTGTGGTTTTTGCGCGTTTTTGCAATTAGCGACCTTCGCGAAGACGGCGGACGCTTTGTCGCAAAATGTGCGTCCATCCGGCTACTGCTTCGGCTTCCTTAACTGACAACATAACATAACCTGCATGCTTATGCTAAGTTTGTGCTAATGTAATCTCATCGTTTTCGCTTCATTTACGCTCATGTAGTGTTTTAACCCTGAAATACTCAATACGTTCATGGATTATGTAAAGTTTCACTTCCAACATAAGCAAATAGATTGTAAATAGTTAAAAATAAAAAAATATATAACCTATAAATATACTTGGATGTTGTATTTGTATATATGAAACATAGTCGGGTTAGTTACAACTTTTATAACTTAAAAACTACTGAACAGATTTTGAAGATTTATAATTTTTTGGCTTTGTTTTGCCTCAGAATAGCATAATAACTATTAAAATATTTTAAATTTTGACTTTAAGGGTGATAAATTGAAAATAAAATTTGATATAGAGGTTCAATCATAGTTATAGCTAAATAATTAAATCCGAGATGGCGCTAAAGTGCAATATTAGCATATCTTGTAGCTTTAACATTTACTAAGTCTTGAACAAGAATGTAAAATTTAATTACAATTTTACTAAATACTAACGAAGTTGCGGGAAGTGCAAATTTTTATGATTTTCCATCACAAATTAAGATAGGAATACTCATAAGATATACCTAAGTATATTGTATTGATGAATTTCTGTAACTGTCTGACTTTCACTTTTTTTTCGTTTTGCAGCCCACAAAAGAAGCGATGAAGAAGCCAGCGCAGAAAAGCATCCTCTACGCGACCGTCGCCGCCATCTTGGTGAGTGTACCTAGTATATAATACAATCAATCGAACATCCATGTTTATTTTTTCTGCACAATAAAAGATGGATATTAGATCATTGCTTTTAATTATGCGCGCATAGCACCGAGTGTATCTACAGCGCAATTGTTTGTTCTTTTGTGTCGGCATGGCAGACCAACTTAAGCGCGGCGCGCACGTTTGCTAAACGAATGCAAATTTAATTGTGAAATTATAATGATGTGGCCGCGCGCCCGGTGATGACGCTCTCCGAGTTGTAAACTTGTAAACTTAATATGAGATCATACAATCGCGCTGTTACAACATACTTGCGAAAAGTGGAGAATTCTAGATGACTGCAGTGCATCTGTCGGTATCATTACTGTCAGTCATGATGAACAGGCATACAAATCATGTGAACATTAAATTCCTCGAGATATTAAGATTAAATATTGATGTTGCATGATGTTGATAATAATTGTGATACTTGTTTTATTATTGAAAGATATTACAGTTTGAGGAAATGCTTCAAATGCTTTCAAATTTCCCGATGTTATTACGAGTACGTTAGTTATATTTTTTTGTTCTCGGAGTTTTATTTTTTGCTGTTGGCAACACTGGCGTCTCTATGTCAGATATGTCAGATTGGTAACTAAACTGTGAGGTTATAATTATTTTCTCTTCAAGATGTAGTTCCTAGAGTAAATAATAAGATTTTACAATAACGATTGAACTTTTGGCAAGTTTTGGCCTAAATTTCGCGCGGTTGGCAACACTGGCGTTTTTGTAACAGACGTCAGTAACTTAATTGAGAGGTTATAATCAGTTTTCTTTAAATATATAGCTTCTTGAATGATTAATATGATCCTACAATAAATCCTAGTGATATTGAATTATTTCTGCAATAACTAGTGAACTTTTGGTTAGTCATAAATATAAGCAGTTCTCTTAAAATGCCAGATCGGTGATATATTATTAACTCCAATTCACCCAACTGGTTACTGTCTGTTACGACTGCTGCGATTGATTGTTGCGACTGGCATTCGACTGTTTTTAATTCTCAAGGCAGTCCACCTCGCGCTCGACAAACAAGGCGGTGTGGCGGAGGCAACGTTGCGTCACTGGCGGCGTTTTTACGCTCCGGAGCCTCCGGGAGCGCCTCCAAGGATATTCACGTTGTTATATTCAATTCGACGATATAATAAATTAAATAATTACCGTGTTGTTTAGCTGTTTACGTTTTTACGTCCACCACACGAAAACTCATCTCCACGCCGCCGGTATATAATTCAGTTTTATACCATCATTCTTGTTTTAATGCGTGTGTTTACATCTTCATTATCGAACTCTATGTTTCCGCGCATCGCATCTTAATTACCGCATTGTTCCTATCGCGTTATTATCTAATAAAAACCACGTGGAAGTCATCCTAGTGCGGGCGCTGTCTATTTCTGTGTTTATATTTTTTCTATTGGAAGCAGTAATTATTTGCAGGAAAAAATATGTCACATTAGCATAATTACAATTAGACGCACGCAACGTGAAGAGAATCTCTGAAGGACAGTTATGGCACACGCAGATAATAATTTTGTAAACCAACAAGAGTAATTTGTTTAGTGCCGCGTAATGAAGCACGTAAGATAATAACAATGTGTTTTTGTTTTTTTCTTTCTCAATCACCGATTGTAATAAGTAACAACTTGTAGGTTATGTGAAAGATGCGCATAATGTTGTGCTAACGGTTTATTGCGTTATTAATGCGCTGTTTAATTCATCATTTGTGAAATTATTGCTTCCTCTAACATTCTAGTTACCGTATATAATTTTAGCAATCTTATTTATACTCTTGTTACCTGTTACAATTTCAATGTTACGTTACGCATTAGAGTGCTGCAGAGGACGTTGTTGATGTAATGCTGATGTTTTTGCGTGTTCTGCGCAATTCCGAATAATGATGGTGTTTAAGCGAAGCGCTTTACAATTTTACTCGGACGTAGACTATTTGATATGGGAATATTTTAATGTAGTTGTTCACATTTGACCAAATAAAAAGTCAAGCGATGCGGGAAATTTTCATAAATACATTCGTTTCGAAAGTTTTTGACCACCTAACAACTGGTAGGTGACTACTAGTGACTTGAGTTTTTTGTTGTGCAAAAGTTCAAATGAAATGTCAAGTGGTTCTTTCATCTTTTCGAATGCTTGCCGTCGCGTGTCATTATGAATTCTAATTTATTTTGTGTAGAGTAATTGAGTGCTGTTAGCGTCGGGTCATTAAGCAATTTTCCTCTGAAATTGCGGAAGGTTTTGTGAAATGTCTTTTTTAACTAACTGGCTTGTTTTTGTCGTGCTCACAGTTTAAGTACTAATTAATCCATTACATTAAGTATAAAAGACAAAAAATGTGCAACCAGTTTCAGAGGAGGTAAGATTAGACAAATCGTATCTTTGGCTAAGATGTATTTCTATAATTTTTGATACGAGAAATCTATAATAGAAAAATGAATCACAAAATCTATTGGTAAGCGCATAACTCAATAACGCCTAGACTAAATTGGTTAATTGCCGGGAAATCCCAAAAGACAGCCCTTTTCTATAGGATAATTGGAATTGAGATTCAATCATAGTTATAATTAAATAGTTGAATCGAGATGACGCGCTGCAGTGCATTATTAGCAATTATTTATATAATTAATTTCTTTAAAATAAAATTGCAAATCTTATTGATTGAATTAACACATACTATGTCTAGAACAAGACAGTAAAACGAATTAAATTAAAACACCACCGGGACGAGGTCGCGGGCAAAAGCTAGTGATAGTATAATTTTTGTGTTAATTGGTTAATTGGCATAATATATTACCCATCTATCTGCAAATAATCAATTTTTTAACTTGAAAGAGTTGGAATAGAGATTAGGTATATGATTGCTGTTATATTTATTTAATTCAAATCATGATGATATTCCTACTTACTTACATAAAAATCCCAAAGGTCACTTCTTTGAAAATAAGTTACATAAGCAATAATCACAGTAACACCCGGCCTACTGTTGTCGTTTTAAATTTTATGCATTCGTAAATTATTCTCGTTCTGTCTACGCATAGAAATACAACTTTAAAGTCGTTTAAGTGCATGCTATGTACGCTGAAAATTCAAATCTCGACGCCATTTAACGATCAAAATTTTTAATATAAACTGGTTTATCGATATGCACTTGTTGTCTTGATGTCTTCCTCAAAGTACGATATTTACCGTTAGAATTCGTAGGTAATATATTCAATGCAAAGTGTGTGTGGATGCACATGTAATCGAGCATCAAGGAGTTGTTAATTGCGTGAGAAATGGATTTTCCAATCGTGCGAACGTCAAATAATTGCGCGGCGCAAATTAGCTCGCCCGGTCGAGATAATGATATGATATTAAGTTGCCGTTGCGGCCATGCGACCAATATCGATGAGATGAGATATCGAACGATCTGCGACATTACACTGATTGCATAATTAATTACCGTTTGTAATTTAACACGTTTTATTCTTTTTGTTTACAGGCTACTTGCACATTCACTGCCATTAATGCTGCCAACATTCCTGAAACATCACTACCAACAACAAGTAAGTTTAAAACTTTAGGTTAAGTTATAATACGACGTTTTAACCTCAAAATTTTGTTGATTGATTGATTGATTCAGACTGAATTACATTAACATTTTTACCTATGTGGTTATGCAGTGTGACTCACGAAACAAAGACTTTAAAAAACAAGTTGTAAGTCCGAAGACAATAAAGGCATGACCCGAATTTATTGCAAAGCAACAACTTTCGTTTGTGGGTCTTGGCTGTTGTGCGCGAAATAGATTCTCAGATATATGCAGGCTGCGCATTTTGTCTGGCTCGCGGCGTCGGATTTTACTTTCAGTCATATCATTGCAGAGAGTCTGGTGCGCCAACCAACAATGCTTCTCACTTTCTTTCCCAGCCAGCCGCTCGAAACAGCCTTATTATTTAATATTAGCATGAACAGCATCTACTGCGAATACGATATCATAATTAATTCATTAATTCGACTGGAAATAAATGCAAGTTTCCTGAGTGGCTGATTCCGTTAGCTTATAAAGTTATCTAATGCGACTGGTTTTCTTTTCGCTGCAGAGTCGCCGGAAGTCGCGTCGGATATACGAGTGGAATGCAATAGTGATGAGATTGTCGTCAGTGTGAGCACGCGCTCGGGTAGATTCAATGGTATGATCTATCCCAGGGGATTGTCGAAGAATAGCACGTGTCTTGGCGAATGGGTGCAGCGGAAGGCGCCCATCAAGTACAGCCTGCCATTGAGAGGATGTAATACGATGAGTACTGAATTGGTAAGTCATATTTATTTTATATTACTTGTTTCGCTCAACTGGCAGCATACCCACGTCCATAAATATTGTCTTACAGTAATTATTTAGAAAATTTATTTAAATTCTGTTAATATTATTCTGCCGATAGTAAAATCTAAGTTTGCCAGACCGAAATATTTAATTAAAAATTTGGAGGAATTTTAAAATACCATTTTTTGCAATGATGCATAAAATAACGCAAAATTGACTGAACCATTTTTAATAGATTGCAAAAATATAATTTTAAGTGTGTAAAATAAAGGAAGAAAATTATTATGCAGATCCAATCAAAGTAAAATCAAGGTAAAAAGCAAAATTGGTATAAAATTGACAATTTTTACCTTAAAATCGGTTAAAGAAAGACCTTTTATTAAAATCGGAGAAATTACTCTTTCAACTATGTAGGGAAAGGTTGGCTAAGTCATACCTCTAAAATACAATTGGCCCAAGATTGAAAGTTTTGCAACATAATGTCAGTTTTTTGACATATTTACCTGCTTAAGTTAATATAGCTTTAATTCGTATGAGAATAATTAATCAGAAATGTTTATATTCTTGTAAAACATCAATTTAAAAAAAAAATGTGTGATCGGTACGACTTAACAAACCGGTCTGTTAAGTCGTACCATCGATATCCTAAGTCGTACCTGTGCCAAAGTAATATCCAATTGAGAATATATATTAGTTTAATAATAATATATTTATTTGCAAGGAATTTTTTACTCGTTTGGACACCCCAACACATTTGTCATGCATCCAAATTTTGCCTTTGAGGCACTGAATCATACTATCTTCCCTATTCTCATCACGCTAGTAAAGTATCTTTGGTGCGCAACCTTAGCGCCGTCTGGTGGCGCAGCTGAAACCTTGAGTCTCATATGTTCTATAGGTACGACTTAAAAAGCGCAAAGGGGTACGACTTAACAAACATGTGCTTCCCGTTCAAAACAACCTTAAACAATATATCAGAAGGAATATTTAACAAAATCCATGTAGAAAACAATACATGGATAGATGTATCCTTACTAATATTATAAATGCGTATGTCCTGAAGTTTATAGTGCTTTCACGCAAAAACTACTTAACAGATCATCATGAAAATTTGTACACATATTCTTAGTGGTCCCCGAAAGGTTATAGGCTACTTTTTATTTAATAAAAATAATTATTTTTTAAATTAAAATAAAGAAATTGTTTAGTCACTAACACCTCTGCATCTGGTTATTTGACTACTTCAACGCCATCTAGCATTCCAGCAATGAAGCTCACACCTAAGTACTATAGTACCATCACACTGTATTACCGACAGCTACGTCAACATCAAACCCGTACACATATTCTTAGTGGTCCCCGCTGGTCCCGGAATGGTTATAGGCTACTTTTTTATTTAATAAAAAAAATATTTTTAAAATAAAATAAAGAAATTGTTTAGCCAATAATACCTCTGCATCGGGCTAATTGACTACTTTAACGCCATCTAGCATTACATCTAAAATTTAAAACTTTATTGCATGTAGTAATTTTTTCACATAGATAATCCTTGCCAAGCAGTGAAATATACATTCTTTCTATCAATCCGTTTCAACTATGTATAATGATTTCTATTATTTATTTGATGGATTCAACGCGAGCGAAGCCGCGGGTTAAAGCTAGTAACCAATATTTAACATGCCCTTTATTAAAATCGGAGAAATTACTCTTTCAACTATGTACCTAAATATGTTAAAAATTGCAAATCTCCAGAGTTTATAAACACTTAACGCGAAAACAAATTGTTTAGAAAAGTGTTACTTTATATCATTTTCTGAAGTAATACTAAGACTATTCTCTAAGTGTTAGACAAACAAATGCAACCAGATATACTGATAAACGTTCTACACCCAAAGACTTTGTTACTTTGCACCGCGAGCGCAACTAATCTGGACTCCAACTCTTAAGGCAATAGCCAAGAATGTATGGCGTGTGATAAAAGCAGTTGCACTAACTTAATGACTTCTTACTTGATGTACTTTAACGAACAAAAAGGCTTTTTGCACGTCTACCCGCTTCAGCGTGTCAAAGCGTGTCAAATGAGACAATTTGTGCATGCGGGCTGCGGCACAGTTACCAAATCGAAACACTGAGTCTGAGTAATATACAAAAATTTAAAAATATACGGCTGTCGTCGTCTGCAAAGGAGGCCGAAACCTTGAATTGCTCATATATGTGCACGACTCGCGGAACGCGCACATGTTGTTTTTCGCCAATCGAAAGTGTTACGTATTATTTGTTTTTACGCTGTGTCAAGTTGCCTTATTCGTTGATGAGTTGATGCAAGAGCCAGGCGCGAATGAGGAGATTCAACAAAACGCCTTGTTACGAAACTGCACGCTGTTAAAGTTTCACTTTTTTACGATTGCTAATCTAAACGTGTTAAGATGCATTTCGATGCGTGATCAAGTGCGGAAAATTGAATTGGTAGCTGAGGAAATTTTGTAATTCTGTAATTTTATGCGCGCGTGCGTAATCGTATTGACATTATCTAAAGTGTGTCAACAAATTGTAATTTTAGTCATGCGTTATACGCTTATTCAGAATTAATTAGGTTTTCTTTTGCTAATATAACCTGGATAATTGAGTTTTGCTCGATGTTTTTGTTATTCATCTTTCAAAAAGTTTAGTTTCACTTGCAAAATATGTTATATTACAACATGTTGATTAGTTAAGAATATAAAATAATAAAATTAATTAATTTTTGTTATTGTCATGTTTCCAAGATTTAATCAATATCTAATAATAATTTTGTAAAAAATCAAATTCTAAAATTATTTTTTAAAATTCATCTATAATGTAAAAATTAATCACATCTGTTGGTAAGCGCATAACTCAACAACGCCTAGACAAATTTAGCCAATTCTTTTTTTTTAATGTTCGTTAAAGTCTAAGGATGGTTTTTACGGCGAGAATTTTTTGAATAATTTCCGAGAAAACTCCAAAGACAGCCCATTTCGATAGGATCAAAGTTGGCATTGAGATTCAATCATAGTTATAGTTAAATAGTTGAATCCGAGGTGGTGCGCTGAACTGCATTATTTGCAATTCTTTATATAATTAATTTCTTTAAAATAAAATTGCGAGTCTTATTGATAGAATTGACACATAAGTACTATCTTATACTTGTAGATCAAGAGAGTAAATACGAATTACATAAATTTTTATTAAACACTACTGGACGAAGGCGCGGACAAAAGCTAGTTATTATTAAAATTATGCTTTTTGCAAAATGTTTGATTAAGAATTAAGTAAAAAATCAATCAAAAAATGTTTGTTTGACTTGTTGTATAAGTTTCGAATGCTAATACTTTTTCATAACAGCTATTGAGTAATAAGGGTTGGAATGTAAGCTGTAAGTGTTTATGATATGCTAATACTAAAATCAACATAACAAAGATGCCTCTAAGGCCGTAAAGCTATGCAAAAAAGTGAATAGTCACCATTTGCGCCAGCATGTGCAGTGGGCGCGCACCCGAGAGCCTCTCGGCTGCTTTTATCATTACTTTACACTTTGCGTCATTACAAACTTGCGCGCGGTGGTCATCGTAGCCTTTTTCGCCAACAACAAACACGCATCAGAAGATATGAGGAGGACCGGTTCGGCGGGTTTATGTGCGCATCGACGGGCAGCGATGTCCTTTTTTCTCTCCTTCTTTACGGTAGAGGCTTGCTAAGACCGTGAGCACCGCTGCGGTTTTATATCGCAGCGATGCAGGCAATGCATTATAAATGCACTCAAAGCCACAGCCCCGCACACACCACATGCAGAGGCGTGCAACAGTGCGAAACCCAAAAATAAAAAACATCTACCCATACGTATAGATACACAACATGAGGATGAGCATCTCGAGCGGGCGCGTACCCTATACTTAAGGCGAAGAAGAGATAGGCCGCGGTGAATAATATCCGTGGAATGAGGAACGCTTCTTCGCGGCAATCGCGGCGCGCCTGTGTGATACACATTTCGCTACAAATTGCACACATTATGCGCGCCTGCTGAATGGAGAGAAAAACGCGCCCGCGTTTGATTTATGAGAGATGAGACGCAACTGCGTGAATAGAGGAGGTTGTGTTATAGTTTTCTTTTGCGATGTTTGCATGCCCGAGCAAAGAAACTGTTTTTTCCGTCATGGAGCGCAGCGAGAAAAAGTGAGAAAATCATGTTTTAATGGTTGCCTTCGCATTGTCAGTATGGGCATTACTAAATCACAATGGCAAGTGCAACTTAGATTGTGCTAATATGTACATACCTACATAAATCATCATTATTTTCTAGATCGAAAACAGCGAGGAAAATGTCGTTATTATCTTTTATCTTTATATGTTGGGCATTTGTTTCCAAATTGGTCTTCAACTTAAACTGTCAGATAAAATAATATAAGAACTATAGCCTAAATAATATTATTAGTAGAAGTATGAGTTGCTATTTTGTGACGTTTTCACGTAAAAACCACTCAATCAATACAGTTACATTTTCGTATGGGGATATTTGGGATATAGGGGTAAAATAAGAGACAAACAATTAACTAGAAAATTCAATCAATTTTATAATTATATAATTTGAATATATTTGAATCAAGTTAAAAATAACTTCGCCGACATACTTTTATGAATGTTTTGTAGTTATTTCGATGAATACTAGAAGGCGCTGCTAAAAGTTCTCCATGAAATAAACCCCTCCTGTGTGTTTATAAACCAGGTAGTTTTCAAGGTTCGTCACTCTGGTTTCCCTTCAAAGCGAATAAATCTTTCGCCTTTTACTAAAGATTTCCGTGGAGGGGAACAACTCAAATGAGTCTGTAAATAATTTTTTACAGGCCCAGCAATTTGTTGCGGGGCCGTCTTAACGTATCCAAACATAAATATCATTTTTTTAATTTCTATCTCTTTTTTGTTAAAATGTCTCAATATTAATTTTATTACTTTCAATTGTGAATACGTAATCCATTATATATTTTACTAGTTAACCGGGCAAACGTTGTTTTGCCATATAAATTATTTCAAGTTTCTAGATAAATTTTAGTGTAGACAAAAAGTAACTTACTTATTATAAAAAATAGGGATTGGTGATAAGAAACCAAAAATTTAGGGTTGTATGTATATTTTAATGCCACATTAAAAAAATAAAAACAAAAAATTTCGACCAAAATTTAAAAAAATTAAGGGTGAACAACCCTTATCACTTAGAGATATGAAGTTACCGATTCTCAGACCTACTGAATACGCATATAAAAATTTTCTTTGAGCGGGATGAAAAATGATTATTTTACTAAAATGGCTATAAAGAAATAGGGGTTGGTGATAAAAAACTTAAAATTTAGGGTTGTATGTATTTTTTAATTCCACATTATAAAAAAAATAAAAACAAAAGAATTTGTCCAAAAATTAAAAAAAAAGTTAAGGGTGAACAACCCTTATCACTTAGGGGTATGAAAAATAGATGTTAGCCGATTCTCAGACCTACTGAATACGCGTATAAAATTTGGTAAAAATTGGTAAAGCCGTTTCGGAGGAGTATGGAAACAAACACTGTGACACGCAAATTTTATATATATAGATTAGTTTATGAAGTCCTCAGGGCTAAACATGGATAACTCAACATATAAAATTGTAAATCTAATAAAATCACGTAGAATTTTTAAAAATAAATAGTTTAAAAGTTTCAATATTAATAGACACAAAAATGTTTTAAAGTGCGGGTTTTGCACATTTTTTTCCATTATCTCTGCATGTAAGAAAATTGCGTGCATCTGAAAAGTTTACCTACATAAACAAGTGAATATTATTCCCATACCCTGGCTGACAGTGGCCGCACTGCTTCCATCCCCCATGCAGCTGAAGCGGCAAGCTGTTTTGCATACAATGTGTAATTGCCGGCAATTTGCGAGCCGTCCGCTGCCGTGGATCGCGAATATGTGTATAATCTGAATGTCTAATAACAGCAATGTGTGGTGTTGGTACACGTCGATACATTTACCTCCGTGGCGGCTCAGGTGCGAGGCATATACAGGATATATTCGTATTTTATTGGGTTTTAAAGAAAACTGTTTGAGGGAAAATAGTGAATAAAGTAAGATACATTGTATTTTTATATTTTATTGTTATGGCAGCTGCAGTTAACTTGCATTACTTGACTACAATTTAAAAATTGCGTTTCTTAAACTTTTTATATTTTAGTATTGCAGATTTCGCGCCGAGAAACAAAATTATTGTTCATAATTATTTATTTAATAAGCAACACCCTGTAAAAACTACTGTGCAGAAGCTGTGCGCTTGGTATATTTAACTACATACTTACCTACTTGCCACCAACATATGAAATTATATATTTTTCGCTTGTCTTATGATTTTATGCTGCGTTAGTTTATTTTTCGACCGTAAAAGAATCGCTCACTTACTACGTGCACACGCTTACCTACCTATGGCAATAGTGCATAATTTAAATTTTCGAAACGACCGACGCGAAACCTTGAAAAGTGTTTTCGGCGTCGCGCCATCTTAAGAATAAGAACAAAGCACGACGTGCAAAGTTGAGTATGAGTTCCACTGTTGAATGCATGATTTATACGAAATACAATACCTGGCGTAACTGACGAAAATTTGAACAGAACATTAGTATATGGGTAATGATATAGAACGTGTGGAGCGTGTGGACTGTGCACGCCGCGTGCGGGAGTTTAACGAGAATTAGAATTTAGAACCAGCCGGCCGCATTGTGATGCAATCACAATTTCATATTTCGATTGTTGGTGCGAGTGTTGGTGCTGTGCTATTCCGTTGCTTGAAAGCAAAAGTAAATCTCGCAACGGTTGCGCAAGGTTGTACATGCATGTGATGGGAGAGCTAATTTTGCTAAATTTAATAGTGTGAATTATTTAAACTGTAATTTAAATTTTGTTTAATTATTGCTTATTAAAGTAAAATATAATGTTAGGTTTTGAAAATCGTAATAAATGTTAAATTGATGTTACCTAAATAATCTTTTTTTTTTAATTTGGATTATTCATTTTTCTTTTAACTTTTTTATTCAAAAAATTAAAATTCTGTTTATTATTTTATTATATTTTATTTTTAAGATGTTAATAAAATACATTTTTCAGTTTCTGACAATGCCCTCGAGGTGAAACATAAATAACTAATTAAATTTAAACATGAGCCGTCTATATATTTTGCAAATTAATTGAAATTGTTACATGCTTCATCATGGCGTTATGGCGTTATGAGCAAATTCTTCTTATTTTAATGTAGAACCATTCAAAAATTGAAATTTTAATTTGAAGTGCTGGTTAAAATACAATCTTGTGGAAATACGTATATCAACATATAGATACATATATGAAAAAAGTATTACATATTACATATATTCAATTATATTACAACTTTAGCAAAATACCTTATTTGTATAGTTGGGCTATTAGATATCCCAATGTGGATTATGGTATAACCTATCAATGACTTAAGTCATCTTAACCGCCTAGTATTCCTCTTTATAACTGAACGAATGACTCAAATGAAAAACATAGAGATACCGTTACACTAAATGTCTAAATGGATGTGGCGCTACGACGCCACGCGAATGAGGAACAGTATTAATTGCCGGTTATGGCCACAACCGTACCAGACAAGACACAAGAGGCAATGACGGAATATTTCCACTGGGCTGTCACGCCATCATCAAGACTATCAAGCCTAGCAAAAGGATGCCGAGATGCGGAAAGTAAAGACTGCAATCCTCTGCAAAAATTTCGATAACATCATGCACTGCGCATTAAATACGCCCAAATATAGATGTAAAATTAAAGTTTTTGATTTTATAACTTTCAACAAAGGAAAACAACTTTGAATTTTTAATTTTTTAAGTTAGCTTATTACTTCTAAGAAAATGACGATACCTTTAAATTTAAACATTGCAAATCCACGTTCTTCTCATTAATAAATATTAAAATAAACCCGCCACGTATTTGCGGTTTCTATTTATAATAGTGATGGACAAATCTTCGCTTATTATACTATCTCATTAAAACTGTACGTTTTAGTCGAACGCTCACAACGTTTTGAAAATGTTTACACACTCAACAAAGCATGTAATGCACACGCATGAGACCATCGCACAACCCACAAAATCTATTCAAACAAAAGTGTATTTAAGTATTTATGATGTAAAATTTGCATTCGTTCGTCGCGCATAAAACATCCCATTCAAAACTTTATTCACGCGGTCAGCCCTGGAGGTCTTTTCAAATATTTTATGGCCACATAATATTCTCGTATGGCGAGTGGGTTTATAAAGAATAATTTATATTTTTTGATTTGACCATGACTTTATGTGAAATAACAACGCTACTTAACGAGCTGTAATTATTCGTAGTGTTATAGACTCAATATAAACAGAAAAAAACGGTTATAAAAACGACGGTAATTTATTTACAATTAGTGTTTTTTGTCGAGATATATTTTTTAATATTTAATTGAGGTCTAATTTTGAATATGCACGCGAAAACTAGTTTTAATTATTTAATCAGAAATAGTTGTTGGAATGATTTAAATTTGAGTTTTTGAAAGTAAATTATTTTTAATATCCAATATGACATAAGATAAACTACAATCACTTCAAAACGGAATGAAATTGGAATTGTGTATTGAGATAATACTAAAATTGTACAAATTAATCGGTAGGTTTGCCTTTCTAAACTTTTATGCTTTGAGTTGGTGCATTCGACATATTGTAGCCAAGAGGCAGGTCTCTCACATGTCTTATATTTTTATTAAGTGGATTTTAAGTAATAATGACAGCGATTGTGTAACGCCACCGCTGTAGTGTTGCGGATTGATTAATTAAATTGGTCTGTTTGAGATAAATCACTACAATCTACAATACTTCCGAGGCGGTCGTGATCTAAAAAGAAAGTATGTTGTGTCTAAGTGAGTGTAAAGTAAATACTTATTTGCAAAACGGATTTTAGGTTTTAAGAATCGTGCGATTATAATCAGCAAGAGTTTAAATATATTATTTATCTCAGTGAAATAATCTCAAATGATATATTTTAGCTTACAAATGTATATTATAACGGTTGATTAGTTTTTTATGGTTTTAGTTTGTAAATAATAATGATATTATTTGTAAAAGTTTAGTTATAGCTGCGTGAAATAGGTAAACGCTTTGTAAACGGAATATTTTCTAAATCACAGAGTTAATTTGGATAAAATTTCAGATTTAGATCTGGTTTTGTATTAAAATAAATATTAGGTATGTATCCTTCGCTGAAAAAACACAGTTTAACACTATAAGAGAACATTTTCTTGACGTAAAAAGTAGTTTATAATTGTAAATTTCTAAAATTCATGTATTTCAAGTTTTTCGTGGAAGGGCATAGTTAAACAACAAAGAAATCTAGCAGAAATGCAACAGGATAAAAAATAACATAATACATAAATATTTATTATTTTATTTTACTAATAATACTCCCATTCAGGGGCGTAGCTACCGCCGTATTTGCCGTATCAATTATACGGGGCCCCCGGGCCACGGGGGCCCCCAAAGTGTGTAAGGAAAAACCTTTACCTCCATATAAGGGCCTCCAAAACAATTTTTATACGGGGCCCCGACAAGGCACGCTACGCCGCTGCTCCCATTACTTGCAAAATTGTCTTTATTTATCGACAAACCAATAAAATTGCAATTTCTGGTTGATTTTCTCTCTACAACACATTTTAATCTGTTTGCAAATTGTACAAAAATTTAAAAAAATGTAAAAGTCAGAAAGTCGTAAAATCCCAATCCTAATCCTAAAGGAAACGGAAACAATACATACATGTTATTGACACTCACTACTTTCCGAGAAATGTTTCTCTTCCTCTAGCGCAAGTCCCCTGACAATACACAGAAAGAAAATGAAAACGAAGAAAGTAAAAACCAACAGATACACATTGTATGCCATATTAAACGTAAAGAAATGCTAATATCGTAAATAAGAAATTCTAAATGATTTACGAGAATTGACTTTAGAAAAGCGCGAGTTTAACACTGGTGGGCAACAAACATTTATATGGTACACATTTATAGTGAGCGCGCGGAAATCATCCGTTTGTTTGGTCATGGCATTGTGAAAGTGTCTTTTTTATACGTGTAGAATTTATCATTGTTAATGTAAGACGCAATATCATGCTCACCTGATAAAAATGTTTGATGAACTTGGACTTCATCCGCAGGGTTACTCAGGTTTATCTTGAAAATTCTTAAGCAGTGTGCATGTGTGCAAGTACTCCTAGGTACGTACTTATAAATTATTACACACATTAAACCCGTAGGAATGTCTTAACATTCGCTAGAGCACATCCTCTATTAGTGAGTTCGTGTTTTAAGTCGTAAATTTGTTTAAATTCCGAATTTTAAGACTTTCCAGCTAGGTAGGTAATCGTATGTAGGCGAATATTTATTACCATTGCAACATTTTCGTTTAAATTAATCTTAGTATCGAAATTGATGACGATTCGAAATAGCGTTGGAGGAGGTTATGTCGCATTCGGTGTGTGGGTAACACGCGAAATCCAAGAATCAACTTTCAATTTTATATTCGCAATCGATGCGAATTTTCGGTGCAAAAAAAATTGCGAGTGTAAAATTGAAACACATGAAAGTAAAATGTGTTTTGCAACGAAACTGGTTTCCATTGTTCACGACGAAATCGTGGCCGGCTTGGTCAAATTATGATGTGAATATTTTTTTGTCGTCTGTAATAATTGCCCGTGTCTCTTGTGGACTCTTATTGTTGCGGTCGCGACAAGTAAAAAGAGCGATACTGGCAAGGTCGTCGCTGCTATTATTCCAGCGAGCTATTCGCGTGGGATTTTTGAAAGGTCGCAGTGTGCGCTTCCACCAACAAGTAAAAAACACATTCTGGATAATACGAAATATATCGTAGGAAGAACAGATTATTAATACATTAAAATCTTTAGTTTATTGCAATATATTTCGGTGTACGTGACGCCAGTTTAAAAAAAATTGTAGGTTAGAATAATCAGCCAAATTAATAATATCAATGCAAACGCAAATTTATTTGTTGGTGCCGTTTTCACGCATAATTCACCGCAGCAATTTTGATAAATTTTGATATAGGGATATTCTTGACTAAGAAAAAAGAAATAGACTACTTTTTGTGGCTAAAATATTGCTTGCAGAGTGTAAAATAAGGGATGAAAGTTGGTATGGAGATTTACCTTAGAAATAGTAAATTAATTCAGATCGAGATAGCGTTAAAGTGTTATGTATTATTATTTCTCAAATTTTTAATTTAAATTGCTTATTTTATTATTGAAATCGGCACATTATAATAAATTATTCCTTTACGAATATGAATAAAAACGTTAGAATATGATACAATTACGGTGTTCTTGACAAAGTCCAAGACCTCTCTGTAGGTACCAATGCCTGCTAATTGAAAAACCTGGTCGCAGACAAATCACATTTGATTGAAATGGCGACCATTAAAAACACTGGGTACTCGTTCACAATCTAAGTGACTGCTTGTTGTTGGTAGATACCAACCGACAGAAACAAAACACGCCGCAATTCAATTGAAACGAGTTTTTGTACGTGCGCACATCTTGTTATAAATGATTTTCATGTCGTCGGTAATGATCGCATGCAACGTACGTACTCGTATTCTTTGATTTGATAAATTTCTTGCCACCCAGTGCTACCACACTACGCCGGAGTCTAATCTCACTAGCAAACTGCAAACAATTACCTAATTGGCGCTAATGACGAATCTTTGTTCGGCACTCACAACCGGATTTAATGACGTACGGCGTAATTGGCCAACGCAAACGTCGACGAATTGGTGATTATGAGTCATTCGCAAACGCCCACAATGCGAAAGACTTTTGCTTCTAGAATGTTTGCTGTGTGTGTGTGTGTGTGTGTCTGTGTGTCTTTTAGTTAGCACTAATAGTGTAATGGTTGCGTGCGCATAAAAACGTTCAATTTGCGGTGTTAATTTATTTACATTTATACGCTCTTGGTTGCTGGTTGTTGCAAACTTCCTTCGCACGTTTACGATATGGCCACACCTCGCGCCTGCTGTGTTCCACCTTTCCAATGACAGTACGTTACATGTTACAACAATGTGTTGTAATATTCTTCGCGAAACAGTTATTTTACATTTGCATTTGCGCTACAGATAAGATTAATAATTCGGTGAAGTATGTGACAGTAATGTTGCGAAATTATTAACTTTCACCTTTTATTAAGCATCCAGTGTCAAAGATGGTAACTGAACTTTCGATGTCACTCCCCAAAAACACGGTGTTGCTACTACTGACAAATGTTTTTATTGTTTTTTATCCACTACGGCTTACACATTTGCACACGTTTAGGGCATTTCCCCCACCATTTTTTGCGGGTAGTCTAAAGAGCACGTAAGTGTAAAATAGCAGCAAGTTGCCTATCCGTCCATGTGCAGTTTTCTAGATCCCTTCCCCTTTTTTTCTATTTTTACTTCGTTTATTTTTATCACATGGTGCTCTCTCTCGGGTGTCCAAAATTCCATCAGTTTATGACTTTTCAAAAACTTCAATTCCAATGATTTTTCATTAGTTTGCATCCACAAAAAGATAGCTATGCCAGAGCATGCACAATGCGATGTAATTGGTAATTGGAAAACTGGATACGCTTTGTGTTTACTCAAAAGCGAACGCAATCACAACTGGAACAAAAGAGATGAAAATAATAGCCAATACAAGCAGTACATAATATGTCCGCGTTAATGCAGCAAGCAGCTATGTAGAAAGTGAGCTTTTATCTTTTTGTCGTTTGTTTGGCGCACGTTCCTTCCTCGCAGTATTTATACAGTACACATTTGCAATTGAAAGTGTTCATATCCATATCAGCATGCGATTTCTTTCAGTCATAAATGTCTATTATTATTCTTAATAATCTTAACGTATTCTGCGCGACGTGTGTGTCTAAATAATGCAAATAATTAGGAGTACCATAATAAATAGCGTGCTGAATGTGATTTTCATATTGTTTATTTACAATATATTTAATGGTATTTTAAACATTAGTACCGCTTTAATGTCAATTTACTGTTTGAAAGACTAAAACGTAAAAATGTTTTACCAAAATAAATATTTAAAAGCGTTGACATTTTAAATGTAAATTAAATTTACTAAAAATAAAAGAAAACATTTAATATTTAAATGTACAACCCACGCAGCACTTGACAGACAAACACGATTGTATAATTGCGGTCGTAATTAAAAAGTGCTTGCGCAATAATTAAAACGAAATTAAAACAATTAACGCGTTGATTTAATTTTGCAAAACAAAGCGCCGCCGCTAGGCAAAGTGTGCGCCAGCGAGAAACGTGCGAAGAATGCAATTATTTTTTAAATTGTATTTGCAATTATTTTTTATGTTCCAGGATGACGGCGGCATTGAATACTTCAACACCATCGTCGTTCAACCGCATCTCAAACTGGTCACTAACCAAGGCAAGGGTTTCCACATCAGGTGTCGATACAACACGCGCAACAACACCGTGTTAAATGATTCTCTCAAAGTCGAGTTAGTAATTTAAAAAACTTAAAAATTCACATTTTTAAATTTCATGCGGAATGTTATTTTATACTGTAATCAATATTTTGTTATCAGTTTGAGTCATGCTGATCCGGTAACTGCGACTGCCCAAATGCCAGGCTGCACGATGAAGATTTTCTCCGGTGATCCCAGTGTAAAAGAAGTGGCTGAAAATGTAAAAATCGGCGATCCTTTGACACTGCAAATTGCCTTGGACCAACAGGACACCTACGGTCTGCGTATAACTGACTGTTTGGTCCGGGATGGTTTGGGCTGGGGTGAACAAAAACTGATTGGCGGTGATGGTTGTCCATTGGATCCGGAAATAATGGGGCTGTTTGAATACACCGAGGATAAAACCCGTGCGACTGTACATTTCCAAGCGCATAAGTTTCCATACACTGCTTCAGTATACTATCAGTGTAATGTCAAGTTGTGCGTGAAAGCCGACAATGGATGCGAGAATATTACAGTGAGTATATTTATTAAAAAAAGAAACAAATGGTTATTTACGCGTGTTGAGTGATGTTTCAACGATGACAATCCGTTTTACGCTTCTAAAAGTTATACAAAACGCTTTTAAAAGGCAACGTCCGATTGTTCTTGGTTCAATGCACCTGATCGTCTCGTGTTTTCACGCACCAGCCTTGTCCGCTTGTCTGTATCGGATGTGCCTTTTGATTAAAAAGTAATTTATACGTCGGTTTTGGCCCGATGCGGCCGCGCAATAAGGAAATGCTCTCGCACAAAAGGCGAAATGGCGCCGGGACCCGTTTAGCGGTACCACGCGTACCAATGGAGATACCCCTGTGGTATGTTTAGATTGCAGGCATGTCGTGCGTACTGATGGTATTTACATGCCGCGGCCGATGTAGCGCAACACCCATGCATCATGAAACCGTCCGCGTCTCTATCGCGATGGGTATTCATTTCGAGTGTATGATAATGTTTAACAACTGCACAAACAACGCAAAATATATGGCGTCGTAATTGTTGTTTACGAGGAAACAATGGTTTGGTCGGATGGCGCGTGGACCGTTAGGCGATGTGCACGGAGGTCGCAGGTCGCGTGTCTCACGTGTGAAATCATTTTTCGTGCATATATCACACAATGGCGGAGTTGTATTTGCACATCACGATTGCATATTTGTCCTATAAATGTTGGAGGTGAGTTTACAGCTATTCCACTTTGACCAGGCATTATAGGGTCAAAAATATTTTCGAAAAAAAATATTTTTTATTCACCTGAGAATAATTTAATGACAAAATTTGTTGCGTGCGGTCACGTCGCATGCCTTTCTTCAACACTTTCCTTCGACCTCACACGGACGACCGGCGAGACGCTCAAGTCTCCAACAGTCAAGATCGGATATCGGATATCCTGCCGTTTCGCCAAGCCGATGACTAAACGTTTCCTTTCTGCGCGTCTGCTGAAAACACCACTGCCAGGTTCAAAGCCACACGACATCCACGACACAACAACACAATCGTATGTCATGCAGATGCAGCTCATCGAAAAAGAAAGTTGTAATTGCCGAATCAAGCATAAGCATGACACGCGTGCGGATAACTCCGGATAAATAAGACGTAAAAAGGTCGAATCGAATGACCCTGGGAATGGGAATCTCTCACTGATCTATTATCTTAACATCTTAGCGTTGGATTCGCGCGATGGCGTCAGTCCGAAATGAAATTTAGCGTTTTTTTTTTCTGTTCACAGCCGTCCATTTGCGGTGGTAATCGATTACGTCGACAAGCGGACAACAGCCAGGTCGGCGATAATAGCGAAGGAACCCCGGCGACCATCGAGGTCTACAGCGGACTCTATGTCAACGAAGCCAATGACCTTTCTAAGGCTGGATTGGACGACGATTCGGTCTTCAGCGAAAAGGTAAGCGCTGTGCCTGCGCAAACGCATAAATACAAACATGCGCCGCGTAGGTATGTGTCTCTCGGGACGCAGAGGCGCATGTTGAGCATACTTTATGCTGTGTTAATCAAAACACGCGCTCGCGCTACCGCATTGCACAATTTCACACTGCCATACAAATTCCATCATCTTCTTCTTTACGCGCAACAATGCACATTGAATTCCTACAATTGCACACATTTCGCATCGTTATGAAAATGAATTACTACGCGTCGCGTATAAATCAATAAGCGTGGTATGTGCGAGGTGTGCTAGCTACATTCACATACAAGGCATGTGTGCGATTCGTTCCGGAGTTTAAGTTCGTATATGACATACGCGATGATGGATATCCCTAACATGTTAACCTTGTACTTACTTCGGGCATGGGGCTTCAATTTCGCAGCGCACAATGCGCGTGATTCATGACTTCATCCCACACACCTTCGACGGGTTCTTGGTTCTTGCAGTCAGTCATGGGCTGGCTGTGCTTTTTTTCGAGGTGCGCTAGCACTGCGTGCGCGCTAATCAGCATTGTCTTGTCTCTTGAAGGAACAAACGAGCCAGCGCGTATCCCGAGTTGTTCAACATGGAACATAACTATCTTACCTAATGCTAATGACGCTGGATTTTTTTTCGTTTTGACTTTTACACTCATTTTACCATTCGTTCTGTTAACTTTTAAATGGATACATGAGCATTTTCTTTTGTTCCAGTTTGAAAACAAGAAAAAAACTATTTAAGTTATTTAGACATCTTATTTTTTGGGCTTAGTTTCTTTTCAAACCTAATTTAGTTGATGATGCTTAGGTATTTTCACTTTCAAGATTTCTTTACGATAAGTACCTATATAGGTATAATAAACAACGTGTCGTCGCATTTACACACTTAATTAAATCGACATTAAATAAACAAATCAATTAACACTTTACTACCTATGACACTCGAGTGTCGCGACCCAAACACTTTCACTCGTTTCTTTTTGTTGTCTATGTTTGAATTGATGACTTTTGTTTTCTAGAGCCCTGAGGACAGCATTTGCATCTCGCAGAAGAGCTTCGCCATCGGTATTTGCATAGCCGGCCTCATTCTGATGCTGTGCGTAATCGCGGCCATCCTCTGCCTGTTGGCGCGCCGCCGCCACAAGAAGACGTCGTCGAATCCGAGCAGCTCGATCTACAGCGGCCCGTACACGAACACCGCGTACAGTCACACGAGCTAATCGAATATTACTTAAACAAAATATGACGAAAAAACAACGAACGACCTTTCCAGTGCCATTTTAACGCGTATCCCAAGTACCACACACACCTAACTCTTTAATTTAATTACTTCTGTCTTTTGGAAGAGCGAAACAAAAACACACAAACAAAAACGGCACGCGTTCATTCGAGCAAAGATGACCTCAACTTTTCCAAGCGTTTCCTAATACTATTCGTAATCGTGATAATCTAGTACATACAACAATTGCGTATATTTAAATAACACATATTATCGGGGAAACCAATTACACGGTGGTGGGTGAAGTTTAACTTATTTAGCTGACGTTCAATTAGATAGGCGCTGATGCGAAATATTGAATTTGATAAATTCGAAGAGCGTGCTGATGTTTTCATGCGCCGCACGCACATTCAGATTTGTTAAATTTGATTCGCAGAGTAAACATGCATTCTTCTTATATGTTTCTTCAATTTGCGCTTGCAGTGTGTACACGGAGTGAGTTATACTGCAGCGAGATTGTGCGTATCATTGTCACATTGCATTCTTCATGCCAAAAAAAAGTTGTCGTACTTGGCCTTGTACATAAATGAAAAATTACACACCTGCTTCAATTAAATGAGATACTAATGTGACTCTGGTACCGAATCTACCAAGGAATCTTTACGACGAATTAATTATTTACACACTTAAAGAGGTGCTTAAAATGTTAATAACTTAAAACAAACAAAATGAATAAAATATATTTAAACATATTCATTCATTCCCTATCCTGTTTTTCTAATCAACAAGTAAATAAATAGTAATAATTCCTAATAGACCAAGAGCCAGTGACGGCCAGACTTTCGTCATTTTAGGAAAGATGAAATTTTGTCCATGTGTTTCTCCAGCAAAGGTAAGAACGATCCCCAATTATGAAACCTGGATCGTGGTTCCTTTGGCAGTTAACAGCCAACAAAGATGTACACATGATGACCTATGTTTCGTTATTTTAGCATACTCCATTTTTGCATATTTTGTTCGTCACATTATTATAACATGCGCTGCTCATTGCCAGTCACCTGGTATGGTTCCAACCCTAGCCAGACACCCCTAAAGTATTTTTTTTAAACTTTTTTACTTTCGTTATATTAGGAAAGCTGAATTTGATACACATTATACAGAGAGCTATGAAACTGTGTTTTCCAGCACGCCAGACAGTTTGGTCGGTTCTATCATCCTGCCAGACGCATTGAAAGTGTATAAGAGTTGCAAAATTGAATTGTTTATACCTACATGAAATTTTCGAATAATAGTAATTTTATTTCAACAAATATTTAATAATAATCCATATACAACATATATGATTCGCTCGCAAAAATTGTTGAAGTAGCTCACTCTTGCAAGGTGGTAAGCTGCTAGCATCAAAGTTGCGCAATTTTTTTTATTAAAAGCTTCAGTTAATTTGATTTTATTTTATTTTTGTATAAACGGACGGAGCAGGCGATATTGATAACGATCAAACATCGGACTGGAGTTGCAGTGATGGCGAAAATGGAGATATCGATAACAGTGATGATTATTATTAAATATTTGTTGAAATAAAATTACTATTATGCGAAAATTTCATGTATAAACAATTCAATTTTTGCAACTCTTATACACTTTCAGTGCGTCTGGCAGGATGATAGAACCGACCAAACTGTCTGGCGTGCTGGAAAACACAGTTTCATAGCTCTCTGTATAATGTGTATCAAATTCAGCTTTCCTAATATAACGAAAGTAAAAAAGTTAAAAAAAATATACTTTAGGGGTGTCTGGCTAGGGTTGGAACCATACCAGGTGACTGGCAATGAGCAGCGCATGTTATAATAATGTGACGAACAAAATATGCAAAAATGGAGTATGCTAAAATAACGAAACATAGGTCATCATGTGTACATCTTTGTTGGCTGTTAACTGCCAAAGGAACCACGATCCAGGTTTCATAATTGGGGATCGTTCTTACCTGTGCTGGAGAAACACATGGACAAAATTTCATCTTTCCTAAAATGACGAAAGTCTGGCCGTCACTGGCTCTCGCTCTATAATGTTTCAGTTGATATTAGGGATGTCTTGAAAAATTGTAGAAGACATATTTTACAGTCATTAGTGCCAAAATTGTATTAAACAAATAATGCAATTTACAACTGAAGTAAAAACTTGCTGATATTCATATATAGTACAGTCATTTGGTGCTAAAAAACGTGGTTGCTTGGAAAATAGTGTTGGATTGTTGAAAATTGGTATTCATATAGATTTCGATGTGCTCTTTACGAATTTAAACTTTGCCACCTCGTATCTTGTGCGCTCGCGCCACCATCTTGGAAAAATGGTGCCTAAGAACAGTTTTTTGACCATATCTCCTTTCCGACTCATTTTACAATAAACATATCTATATAATAAATTAGACTAGAGAAAATTCCCTATAATTTATGTAAGTACCTTTTTCTTGTAAAATTAGTAGTTTTGGCGTACGGGCGCCGCAAAGTCTACTTCAACATTCGTTTTTGTCAAAAACTCATTTCCACGTCATCATGACTTTGCAATTTTTGCTTGCTATGATTTGAGGGGTGCTCCGGCTCCCCCTCGCTTGTTGAAAGTTTCGCCGGCCGAGTATACTTTTGTTTTAGTATTTCTTCTTTGAGTCATTATTACATATTTGTCGTTCTGAATAGTCGTGTCGTTTGCATTTTTGACGCCATGGCAGATAACGTAAATTGTTTTATTTGTGAAACTCCACTGCAAGATAGTGAAGTGATTGAAGTGAAAGAAAGAGGATTGAAGACTTTTCGTAAGTCAAGCGTTAATTGTTATAGGCGAAGATGTAGATCTTCTTATTCTTTTAACGGCGCTATCAATGCATTCAAACATATATTTACTAAAACCAGGGAAAGGAAAAATTTTGCAACAAATCTATTCAACCAAAAGCATCATCGATCAAACGGCGGCAGATCACATATTATTTTTACACGCTTTTAGTGGCTGTGATACAACATCTGCACTTTTTCATCAAGGAAAATTAAAATTTATCAATGTACTCCGCAAAAATCCAGATTTAAACGAAGTTGTCCAGGTATTAAAAACCCAAAGGCTGGTCCAGAGATCATTGCTACAGCTGGCGAACGCTTCCTTCTTAAATTATACAGGTACAGTGATATGAAAACTATGCAAAATATGTCTTTAAACATCTATAGATATGCCAGCTTCACAAAATCAGCATACAAAAATAAATTTAATATTGCATCGCTACCACCAACAGAAGCCGCAGCCCGACAACATTCGTTCAGAACTTATCACCAAGTTCAGCAGTGGTATGGGAATGAACTAAATGCAGAACAATGGGGATGGAAAAAAAGCAAGAATGGGCTAATTCCTGTCACTACACTCGAGCCCCCAGCTCCCGAAACATTGTTAAAACTAATATCTTGCAAATGTAAAAAGGGATGTCAGAAAGCCTGCGGCTGCAGAAAGGCTGGATTGAAGTGCTCCGTTATCTGTACAAATTGCAGTGGTGCCTGTGATAATTCGCAAATTCCATCACAAGATAGCGATGAAGAGGAAGAATCGATTACTGTTTTTGAGCACACGTACGATGAACTCGAGAACCAAGATAGCATTGAAAACGATAATCCCATCGCGGATAGTATGGCAGCAAATTTTACCTGTGATATTTCGATCGGTCCTGAAAACAATTAACGCACAACACCTGGCCCATCGCGAAGAGCGAATCGGAAGATAATCTATTAAATTTTGGAATAGTGCGTGTGGATTAGGCCTACTGGGGATACCACGATAAAAAAACGCGCCACGTACTCTACCTCATGGTGGTGTGGAAATGAGTTTTTGGCAAATACGAATGTTGAAGTAGACTTTGCGGCGCCCGTACGCTAAAACTATTAATTTTACAAGAAAAAGGTACTTACATAAATTATAGGAAATTTTCTCTAGTTTAATTTATTATATAGATATGTTTATTGCAAAATGAGTCGGAAAGGAGATATGGTCAAAAAACTGTTCTTAGGCACCATTTTTCCAAGATGGTGGCGCGAGCGCACAAGATACGAGGTGGCAAAGTTTAAATTCGTAAAGAGCACCTCGAAATCTATATGAATACCAATTTTCAACAATCCAATACTATTTTCTAGGCAAAACTACCAAATGACTGGACTAATAGGTTAATAAGGAAAATGAATTTAAGTAATATTTTTGAACTCGAGGGAGTATTGGTTAGGTTAGATAGATATTTTCTACTTGCTAAAGGTTATAATTAACTATTTTTGTACATAACAACTAACAACGTGAGCGAAACTCATTGATAAAATGCTTAGTGCTGTGTTTCCCTCTGGAAATACTGTTTCTCGAGACGGGTGACCAAATCAATCAGTTTCGGAAAGTTTTTTACGATGTTTGCGAGGGCTGCGTTTGGTAATGGTGTCGTGAGAATTGTATAAAGATGGCCGAATATTAACGCCTCCAATTCCGTTGGTCTATAACAATTTAAATATAAGAATATAAAAAGAACACATAATATCAACGTTGAAATTTATTTCGGTTAAACGAATTGTAGGTTTTCACAGGAGTTTTTTTAATCAGGAATGGCCAAGTTTTTAATAACTTGTACAGGGGATTGTCGTGCTTGTCGGGTTTTTTTCGTATCCTGAAAATGGTTTTGTTTGATTATTATGATAATTGGTGAAAATGAGGATAGCTTACATATACCACAAGGCGCTTAGATTTCTCGAACACCAATGGCGGGAAAGTGCAACTACGGCCGTGAATTTTTGAATCTATTCGTTGGCAAAACTTCAATAAATTGGGAAATTGTTTTATGATGAAAACAAAATTATTTGGCAGAGGAGTGGTTAGGATGGCATACAAATGTGCATAAACCAAAGCATCCAATTCAGTAAACCTACATATTTTGTAATTTAAAATTTAGTTTAAAGATTAATTCAGAATTAGTACATGTGCACTTACTTTGTTCCAAAAAAGTATGGATTATTGTCAAGCCTGTCAGTCAAAGCTTGACAACAAGTCTCCACATCATTGTACACTTCCTCCAGACTCTTTTGATACCAACCAATTACCCTCAATCTTTTGGTCTCTTCTTGTCTCTTGGCCCAAGTCTGAATAAAATTCAATGGCCATGGATATACACTACCATATCTTGGTTTTGTGACATCAGTATATGTTTCATTGTCACACCAGCATAGATATAACTCAGCATTGCCCAGCACGTTATTGACTAAAGTCATGTATGCCCTCATGTCTGCTTTGTTCTCTGGATCCAAATCAGATGTTAAAGAAATACCTTTACTTCCAACAAATTGTACAATGCCTTCAAGTTCAGGGACAATAAATGCACCACATTTGATGAAGGGTACTTTGCCTGTGGGTGACATGGCATCAGCATTTGCTCTAGCTTCAACTTGGTATTCAAGCTGACACATTTTCAAAAAGGTTTGTACTGCAAGACAGTTTGCATTGTCAGGTAGTAGAATTTGCTCCACCTCGTAAGGTTGATAAAGTTGGACATCTTTAGGCCAAGGTTCTTGAGCTGAATGTATAATATGTTTATTAAAATTTGTATTTTTATGTGACAATATAACCTCAATTGCATATATTGGAAGATTATACAATCAAAAAACGTACCTTGTAATTCTAATTGAATTCTATCGATAAGTGGCATTGCATTTGCCGTCATTGTTCAAACTAAAGCTATTTGCTTTAGATATTGCAATAAATACAACTGTGTTAATATACTTAGGAGGCAAATGTAAGGTAAAAGTAGATAGTTAGATAGGCAACCAAACTCACTGAATGACAGTAGTCAGGAATAATAATTAAGAAAATATGTAAATTTGAAAAATACTCACCGGATATAACATTGACGTTATTATTAGTTATGCGAAAGTATTTGTTTAAATCTAAATTAAGATCAGTATTGTCACCGACAAATGGTTTCATCAATTTCTCTTTAATTTTGGAATATCTTCCTGTTTCTGTTTTGAATTCGGGCGTTACACATTCTCTGGTTGGTTCTAAACGTTCGAAGGTATCTAATTCTGAATAAGACTGTGTTCCAAGAAATTCTGTAAATCTTGAAGTTGATTCATTCGTTAACATATCGTCGTCGATAAGATTTGCGGAAAAACTTGGATCCTCCATGCTATCCATACTCATAGCAGTCGTGTCTTCAGGCAGGCTTTCGGTGGTAGTAGTTGTTGTTTTTGTTTCCAAATCTGTGTCTGCTTCAATATCGGTAACTGAATTTGATGTCTGCCAATTTATGCTATCGCTGTTTTCGAAATTATCATCGGTTATTTTGGATATCTCATTATGAGATGTTTTTGACATGTTTCAAGAATTAACTGTGATTAATTTAGATTTAAATAAATTCTTACATTGATTTGTCTGCTTATTATTTGTCAATTAAAAATTCTGCCAACACTTTGATGATAATAAAATTTTGTTTTAGTTTGAAAAGAATTTTCAGTTATGTTCGAGTTTGTTCGGTTATTTTCGAGTCATGACATGAGCGCTACCTACGATGTCACAAACAAGAACTTCTCTTTCTCTCGCAACTTCCTTTTCAACACATCAAAATGTCTAAGCGAGGTGGGTTTCTGAAATTTGCACCGAAAATCTTCAAATATCTCATTAATCACTGCATCGATTGTGAAATTTTGTGCACCAATTAATTTCTCAACGAACGGATGTGTTGTGGTTTCATAAATTTGAGTGTTTTTGATGATACTTTGTGGATAATCTGTGATTCTATATTAAGGGGTTATGTTATTGTGTCTGAACATGTTTTCGTTTTCTTGTAGGACGTGGTGGTTCCGCTGGAGCTAAATTCAGGATTTCCCTGGGTTTGCCTGTTGGTGCTGTTATCAACTGTGCCGATAACACTGGTATGTTTATTCTTTTTCATTTACGACATGTTACTAAGTTGTGTGATATTGCAGGCGCCAAGAACTTGTATGTCATTGCTGTGCATGGCTGCGGCGGTCGCCTGAATCGTCTGCCGGCCGCCGGTTCTGGAGACATGATTGTCGCTACCGTCAAGAAGGGTAAACCAGAACTTCGTAAGAAGGTTATGCCTGCAGTGGTCATCAGGCAGAGAAAGCCTTTCCGTAGGAAGGATGGTGTGTTTATATATTTTGAGGATAATGCGGGAGTCATTGTCAACAATAAAGGTGAGATGAAGGGTTCTGCTATAACTGGTCCAGTTGCTAAGGAGTGTGCTGATCTCTGGCCCAGAATAGCTTCAAATGCTAGCAGTATCGCCTGAAGAACTCTATGGTTAATTTAAATAAAAAAGATGTAAAAGGTATGAATTGTTTATTACTTGGTTTATAAAAATGCCCTACTTGTCCACGGAAATTATTTCGTATTTTCACACGTTACTATTGGCAACACCATAATAACAAATTTCTATTGCACGAAAAAGTGAAATTGATCCGAGAATTTTACTTTATTCTATCATAAGTTTATTTTATTATTTAATGACTAATGCCATCAAGTAACACAATTCCAAATTTTTTGCATACAGTCATCATACAATTTTGGGGAGGGAGATAGATTGTTAATGCTGTTTGTAATTTTAATTTCTCAATTGCTGATATTTTAAAGGAAGATATTTCAATATTTATTTTTGGAACTATTCATTTATTTCGAAAACTATTCTTTAAAACTTCATTAGTTATAAATTTGTTACCGGGCTCTAATTATCAAATTACATTGTTACGTAAGTTGGTGTAGTCATAACACCACAGTTATTGTTCTCTGCAGACATCAGTACATATCCATCATTGCCCCAATAGTTACTCCAACTGTTCTTGATCAACCAGTAGTCCTTTCCATTGAGTGTTCCATAGCCGACAGCCAGTACAGCATGATCCAATTCATCTACCTTATTGCCACTAAAGAAAAAAAAATTAAAATCAAGTTTTCGGGTTAGTGTAAATTTTAGCACATACCAGGTCGGTTCATAATAAACACCATTAGAGTAGAAACTGAAAGTTCTATGGCTGGCGTCAATTGCAACGCTGATTGGGCCATGTTTGAAAATTGCCAAGCGCAGAGCATCTTCATCTCCCGATGTGACATTAACCCATCCATTGATTTTAGCAACCAGAGATACGTTATTGGCGTGACAGTAGCCGTCCTGTCCCAAGTAGGGTCCGTACTCTTCTTCAGTTGGGATGCCGCCGTGTTTTAACATCCATTGGTAAGCGCGGAAGTCCTCGCCACCATCACAACCATTGTTACCATAACTTTTAATACAAAAATAGCATTAAGTCAGATTTATTTTATATAAAAGTTACTGGCTACTTACCCCCATGAGCAATCAATAAGTGCTTGTTGAGACAACCTCATCAATTGACCAGTCTTCAAGAAGTTTGCACCTTCAATCGCGCCGATGGTACCAAACGACCAACAGGAACCGCAAACGGATTGATCCTTAACTGGAGTATATATATATATATAATGTTCTTGGCTCCTATGTGGAGCATAGAGCCTCACTAAGCGCCCTCCAACGGACTCTGTTTCGGGCAACCGCCTTTGCTTCGTTCCAGCCCATATTTTGGTTTCGGAGCTCCTCTATTGTGGATCTTCGCCAGGTATTGGCCGGTCTACCAACCCTTCTCTTCCCCTGTGGGTTCCATTCTAGCGCATTTCTGGCGATATCTCCGGCGTCTCTTCTCAAGATGTGCCCAATCCACCCCCATTTTCTCTTGCGTATTTGATTTATAATGGGAGTTTCATCACATCGACGGTGCAACTCATCGTTGGAGATTGTCATTGGCCAGAATATGCGCAAGATCATTCTCAAGCACTTGTTTATGAAGGTTTGGAGTTTGTGTGTGCTTGAGCTCGTTGACCTCCATGTTTCGCATCCATATAAAAGGGTGGATTTTACATTTGTGCGGAATATGCGCAGTTTTGTTCTTAGTGTATAGACGCTTGACTTCCATACTGTGCTCAGCATTCTGAAGGATTGCTGGGCTTTCTTTATTCTGTTGTTTATATCTGCGTCGGTCCCCCCTTTTATGTCAATTATACTTCCTAGATATAGGAATTCCTTGACCTCTTCTATTTCCGTATTATCTATTTGGAGTTTTAAGGTGTTGTTTGTATTTATACGCATTTCTTTTGTTTTGGCAATATTTATTCTTAGGCCAATTTTACTTGCCTCCCTTGCTAATGTTGTTAGCTGTCGGCTCACGCCTTCGAACGTATGTGACATCAGGCAGATGTCGTCGGCGTAATCCAGGTCGCTGAGGTGCGAGGTTAGTGTCCAGCGCAACCCATCCCTGTTCTGGTCTACCTTTGCTAGTATGTAGTCTAAGGCGATGTTAAATAGTAATGGGGATATGACACATCCTTGTTTTACTCCTCTGTGTATCGTAAAACTTTCGCTTTTTTCACCGTTGTGTAACACACTGCAGTTTGCATCAGTGTAGAGTTCTTGCAGGATGCTTATTATCTTTGTTGGTACACCTCGCGACTTAAGGATCCTCCATAAAGCGTCGTGGTTCAGGCTGTCGAATGCTTTCTCAAAGTCGATGAAGGCGATGAATAGTGGTGATCGCCATTCTACTGATTGCTCGATAATTATACGAAGGGTATTGATATGATCGATGCATGAGCGATTCGGCCGAAAACCTGCTTGGTTCGGGCGCAGGGTGTTTTCTATAGTTTCCGCTAATCTTGTTTGGACGATTTTCGCGATAATCTTATTAATTGTGTTTAATAGCGTTATGCCACGCCAGTTGTTACACTCGGTCAAGTTACCTTTTTTGGGAAGCTTGATGATTAGCCCTTCTTTCCACTTGGTCGGAATCTTGTTGTTGTTCCATGCTTCCTTAATACAGTGGTATAGTTCATTTGCCATCCATGTGGCGTTTACTTTTAGTAGTTCCGCTGGAACGTTATCAGCTCCTGCTGCTTTGTTGTTCTTAAGCGTCTTTATAGCTGCAGTTATCTCCGCGACTGAAGGCGGGTTCGAGTCAATGTTCAGTTGTCTACCTGGGTTATTCTCTGGCTCCCAGTTAATTGTTTCGTTTGCGCTGAGCATGTCGGAGAAATGTTCCCTCCATCTTTCGAGCTGCTTGTCTGACTCAACTAACAGGCGGCCGTTTTTTGACTTAATGAAGTGTGTGCGTGTAGAGTACTTATTGGCCAGTTTCTTTGTGAGGTTGTAAAGTTCTCTCGAGTTGTTGTTGAGCATTGCTTCTTCTGCTTGTCTGCAAATATCATCTATCCACCTGCGTTTGTCTCTTCTGGCTTCCCTTTTGACCTTTTGGCAAAGGCCTGTGTACTCTACCTGTGCCGCTGCCCTATATTCTTGCGAAAGATTTTGGAGTAGCAGGTGTTTTTTCCTCTTTCGGTCTTCTATCAGCAACCACGTGTTTTCGCTGATCCATTCTTTCCTTTGCCTGCTTTTCACTCCAATTGTTGTTTTGGCGACTTCAATGATGTTGTCGGCCATATTTTCCCATTTTGTGCTGATTTTTGGTTTATTGTCTCTTGCATTTTTTCCTTGAAGGATTTTGCTATTTGTGGAATGCGTAGCTTCTCTATATTTAGTTTTATTCGTTTCATATCGGCTGGTTGCTTGGGTACTGCTAGTTTTATTCTCAATGTGCCAACTATTAGGTGGTGGTCACTGGCTACATCAGCACCTCTCTTGTTCCTCACATCGAGTAATGACGATCTCCATTTCCTAGAGATTGTGATATGATCGATTTGGTTGTGGGTTTTTGTCTGGCGAGACCCACGTTGTCTTGTGAATCTGTTTGTGGGGGAACAGCGTACCCCCTATTACCAGGTTCGCGTTGGAGCAGAACTGTGTGAAGTATGTGCCGTTTTCGTTAATCTGCCCAACGCCGTTTTTTCCCATAATTTCTTCCAAATTCTCGTTTTGAGCGCCTACTTTCGCATTAAGGTCGCCCATGAGAATTTTTATGTCACCGCTGTTTACGTCTTTTATAGTTTTCTCGAGGATGTCATAGAATTCATCTTTATCCTCTTTAGAAGCGTTATTGGTTGGGGCGTAACATTGGATAAAAGTTACTTTTCTGAACCTGGTGTAGAATCTTGCTGTTATTACTCTTTCGTTTATTGGTGTCCATGAGATTAGACTCTTTTTAGCATGTTTACTGAGTAGAAATCCTACACCGCTTTCGTGTTTTCCAGATTCATTACCACTAAAAAGTAGTCGTTCTCCACCTTGTGTGGGATGTTCTCCTTTCCCCAACCAACGTACTTCTGATATACCTAAAATATGTAGATTATATTTGAGAAATTCCTTAGTTACCTGCTGCAATTTGGAGCTCTCGTATAACGTTTGCACGTTCCAGCAGCCGAAACGTATCTTGTGTTTAGTATTAGCCAGGGTCGTCCTCGTATTATCCGTCCGGGTTTGCTTAGTTGAAGTTTCAGTAATAGGTTTGATTTAGGGTGAGTAGGTTATTAGCCTTCTGCACCCGAGTTTGGTGCTGGGGCTGCCAGCTGGAGCGTCCAAACCCGCCTCAGTGTACCTGGATGTTTGACGATGTTGTTGATGTCCCGCACTTGACGTGGTGAAAGTGAGGCGCAAGGGCCGTGGGTGCCAACTGCCAACCTCCCCTTCACGTGGTGCGCCCTGATTTCGACAAACGAGGCTCTGGCGACCGAATATGAGGCGGTATAACCTTAACTGGAGTAACGGCACCATAAATCCGCCAGTCATATTGTTCTGGTACAGTTTCACCCTTTGCGTTTTTGTAGGGGAAGGGTTTACCACCGTTGTAGACACCTGAATATCTTCTACCGCGCAACGCCTTCAATTCCAAATCGGTACGGTCGGCAAGATGGTTGACACTCAATGTGTAACCAACGCGTTGGCGGTTTGTAGAATGGATGAAGCGAATATTTTGACGGAATACTTCCATGCGACGATGGTGTTCCTTCTCGGACTGGTAATTTTTCTGATGCTTTTTCATAAACTTGCCAAACTCGAAGTCAACGTGTGAAGTTGAAGCAGGGTGGATAAATTCTCGCATCGGGTTGAACGTGTACACGTGACGATCGCCAGGACCTGGGAACCCGCTACACTGCAAGTTGGGATCTACGGCGAAGGTATCCGGATCGATATCGTTTACATCGTAGTAATCGTATTGCAAATAGTAGTGGTCATAATGAGATCCCAACAATGAGTTGAAACCCTTCATTTCGTACCTACACAACAACAGTTTATGGTAATAATATTTAAATGATTTAAGTAAATATTGCTTATTTACCTGACTGGAACAGCGTATTTAGCTTCAGTCTTTTCTTGCTCGTTGCGCCATTTCATCCACATAGTATATTTGTTGACTTTCTGGCCGATGGTTTGCGTTAACTGCCATTTTTCTGTCTTGACTCCGTCGATCATTTCTTCACCGACGCATTCGAAACCGATGAGCGATGGTAAAATTGCCTGCGGCTCAATACTTGCATCTTCGGTGCCATTGACTTGCAAACAAGTTTGCGAGTTGAGCAAGGACTCTGTGGTTACAGGTGCAATTTTCAAGCTGGTGCCGTATTTGCCGCCGTTACCGAGTTGGTAGGTCTTGACCATACCGCCATAGTAATCGATTCTCGATTGTTTTGCGGCGGAATCATACCACGCGTAGAAGGGTTCTTCAATTTCAGCGTAGGGGATGTACAATGTGCCCTTCACCGTATATGTGTTGCTCCAATCCGGCGATTTAATATTTTTCTTATCAGTAGTTGCTATGAATATAAAATTTCAGTTAAAACTGGTATAAACTTGCAAATAATTATTTGGTTTTCAATAAAAATATGGTTTATATTCAATAATTAAATACCTGCATGAGCAACGACCACAAAAAGTACAAAGCACAATGCTTTGTACTCCATGGTTGTTATTTGTAACTAAATGAGATAACTATGATGCGTGCGTGTCGAAGCGACACAAGCGACTGCGAGTTTTCAAGTAGTTTGCTGGTTTCGCTTTGGCTGATATTACCACTTCCAACCGATTACTACGGTCTAGAAATCAAAATAGTGCCGTAGACGGTTACACGATTATCCTGACCTCAGCTTTTCTGGTTTTGTTTGCTTTCACTTAGAAAAGAAAATGCATCTCGCTCATAACCTAGGGTAGGTTTATCGATTTTATTCGTGAACCACGAACTTGTTCAGGATTTAAAACCATCTAAGTTAGATAGTTTGAAAAAAGAGGTAGAAATACATAATCGTTGTCATACCGCGTTCCATAGCTGCAGGTGCATCGGTTCTATTGTATTTGTTGACAAAGCAACATGCATTAGAAACTTGATCCCAAAACAGGTAGTTTGAGATGCTTGCTTTGTCATGAAATGCCTACTAAAGCTCGAATATATTCTTTTCCGTTAACTAATCACTACTAGTGAAATTGTTTACCAGAAAAATAAGCATTAAAATTAATTTTTGCTCATCATAAAGATATTGATATTTATTTTTTTCGCCGGTTGCTTTGTTTGCATATTGTGGTAATTCGATCCCGCCGGCTGTAATCATCGCGTCAACTAATAAACAATGTCGACGACACAAAACAGCAGCGAGTTCGCGACACTAAGGTCAAAAAGTGCTTTGTTATCATCATAAATAGCTGATTGATGAAAATGTTGAAGTAACCAGGAATAAACACGCGCAGTTGAAATAATGACTAAGTGAATTGTTTTAACTGTATTTATTTGAAATTTCTGTACATGACTAATTAGCTTGTGCTATAAAACTGTTGTCTTCTGTTGTAACACCTTGAGAACCTGGCAATCTTGCAGGATTCTTAAAAATACAACAAGTTATAATATAGTAGTGGATAAATTAGTATAATAAAATAAAAGACGCATTTGACTTACCAATTGTTTTGCGCGCTTCTCCAGGACTGAAAATGCGAAATGATTAAGTATAATATTGTGCGGCAGTGCAACGCCTTGGAAGCGATAAATCGGTGGTCCTTTAATATCCGTTTCCAATTTAATCACATTGCTAACTGTAATACGCCCCACTTGATTCGTGTTTGCAATCATAGGTCCCTTAGAGATATCAATATATTCGCCAGCCCTGAAGAGCGTGATTTTGCCATTGTTATTCGCCGCAATGTCAGGAATCTGCATAGTTTTATGAGGGTTTTTCTCAAACATCAATAGTGCCAGATCTACAGAAACATCCAGACATGTGATTGGGTGCTCTTCTTGGCAGAATTTTTTGTATTCCAATGACAATACGCGTAGTTCATCTTCCTTTGGCGTCCAGTTATCCAAAGATAACTGAATATCATACACAAAGCTTCCAGATTTTACTGAAATTTTGTAAATGAAGTTATAGTTTTAAATTATGAGTGAGGTGTTACCATTTGGTATTGGAAAACTGTGCAACTGCACATCTACTTTGTCTTTGAATGCTTGTGAGGCAACCGCACCCAAGAGAAAACTGCATGTCCTCCAGAAAGCTTTGTTGACACCACCAGGTTGAGGGTGATTATAATGTAGAAATTCTAATTTACATGAGTCTGGCAGAGGTTTGTGCATATGCCAGAGAACTTCATTATTGACCAATGCAACTGCTGCATTGTTCATGACCTTCTCATTAATATCTATAAAAATATTTAAATTATTATTATAACTATTTCTGCTGATATAAATGTATTTATATATTACGCTTAGCACAATCATAAGGTGTAGAAATATTTCTGTTCATTATCAAAGAGGGTGCATCATTGAATCCACATACTTCAATCTCCATCTTTTCAATTCTACCAACTTGTTCTTTTTGGCGCTTCTGCTCCAACAAAAACATTTCATTTTGTTGTTGTACCTCAGAAGGTGTGCTTAGTAATCCTACAAATTCATGTGATATTAGTTACAAAGGTGTTATACATGAAGTTTTTATTTAAAAAAGGTACTCACTTATGTTGCTATAATTAATGTGACGACTTTTAGTTAAGAAATTGCTAAGTGTTGCGAATTTTAAACTCATCTTGATAAATATTTTGTTCACATTTATTTATTTCAAAGGTTAGAACATTTTCGAAGCGGTGGAGTAAAGAGGGATACAACTCCTTAGATTATTAAACAACAGATGGCGCAAGCTGTGCAACCAGCATAATTTTATTTCATGCGCAATCCTGTTGGTCTTGCAGACAGCAGGAGATAATCTTCTCTTTCTCTACGGTCCCATAAGGCTGGCGCTGGTCGAACGAAGCGTACCGAAGCGCTCCACTCTTCTGACTCGTTATTAATATCATAAGGGAATAAGCTGTTCTTATTGCGCAGCCCAAAGCAATTTTCTGTTTCGGTTCCCCCGAGGCGTGTAAACGTTGCATAATTGTTTAATTATTGAATATAATCTGGCTACCCCTTAAACAACGCACCGAAAAGCTTCGTCCGCTCAGCCGCGCTGCCATAATATCGAGCGATTTATTATTCAGGATCGCCGGCGATCCCCTCGACGAGATCACGTACTCATGGAAAATTATTTTCCATTTTTGATTTCCACCGTTTTGCTGCTCTCAGGTAGCGCGCAGCTTCAGCGTGTTAAACAAAGTACATTTTTACAGCGCATTTATCGCCATTGTTTTACGCGAGTATATGAAAGCGTAGTAATTTAATCCACGTAGACATTTAGTAAGTAGATTGGTATTTTATGTGGAGACATTCGTTTTATGCGCGGCGTTTTATAGATGGCAAGGCGAGTTATGAGACGAAATAATGAGTATGAAATTTACGCACACTTTTCATTGGTAGTTCACGCGTCGTGTGGGCACATGAAATGGCTCGAGGCAGGAAAATGGCGTCGTTTGTATGCGCCGCGGTAGCTTACATGCTTACATAGATTAGATTAGATGAACGTTCGTTAAACGGAATGAAGAGATTTCGTTGGATATCACCGACTTTACGATTTTGCACTAGTTAACTATCGTGCACTGTGCCCAGCATCGTAATTATAACGCCGTTGATGTTTTGATTGCACACTAATATTGTTTGTGACCATTCTAACCTAAACAAATAACCTAAAATTTTTGTGTTTAGCACTGTCGATTTTATATTCGATTTCGCATTTGACCTCGGCCGACGGCAGGTACATAAAATGCGTTTACGTAGGGGTTGACGGTGTTGACGTTACTAGAAGAGTTCGCTTGCATGTTTTACAATAAGTCGTCGCGGCGCGCTATTGAATAACTGTGTGTGCGCGTGTAGTGAGCACGCCCGCCCGACGCCTGATTTCCCAGAGGTTGTATAAACTTCGATTTAAAAAGGTATTGAGATTCGTGTCACTTTCCACGCGCGCTGGGGGTGTACGGCGAGATTGGTACGATATTCGAGCAGCGTTTTATATGCGGAATCTACGCCGATTGTCTCTTACTATTTCAATTTTCAATAGGTCCGACCAGTGCGACGCTTTCGGGCTGTGGAGGCGTTGTAGCTAAACAATTTGATTCCTCGCTCGCAAATATAGGACGAAAATGGTCGAATGGCGATTGGAAACTTGCGTCCGATACCTTTCTACTCATAGAGCTTTATTTATTATTCACTACTGTTTGGATATCTGGGATTTGGAACTGAAAGTGTATTCTAAAACCAGTTTGAAGATCTAAAAAACACGTTTTGATCTAAAGAAAAATTTAAACTTTTTTGAAAACGTGTATTTATTTATTCCGTTAACAATAGTCACATTGTGTGGCTTTGATCTAGTGGAAATAATACGCCGTGTGGTTAATTTTATGCATTGCCTATTTATACGGCAACACGCTACCACCTATAGCCACCCCGCGTTGCGCACCATAAATCTCCGAATGCGCATCGGTTTCGCCTATTGGCGCGCGGCAATGTCGACGAACGACGAGATAATAGAGCGTTATTAAATGGATTCCGGGCGGCGTGCGTCCGGGGCGGCAAACAAGCGAAAACGACACAATTTAGCTCGAATTACACTCCCCCAACATTAACAACACGCACGACACACGCGCCCGGCTTGCCGCAGCCAACTATCTCTGCGCGTACATTGATGGCAAACGGCAATAAAACGGAGAGCTTTATAATTGCTAACCGCATCTGTTATCGCTCCTATTAATCCCAATCAATGCATGGAGGAACGCCGGCCGATCTGCCAGCGGCGCAGATAAACGTTCCGAATTACCTAATCAATATAAACTTTACTGCATTCTCTTCGTTGATGTATTATTAGTTTCAAAGTTATTTGTGTGTTTCATATTTATTGCTTTTTACTATTAAGACATTTAGAGACAAGTTGCAACGGAAAATTTTATAATTTAATTTTGATTCATGAAGAATATATAATACGGAATTATCTAATATTTATTGGTATTTGTGTTTACCAAACATTTCAATGTTTGATTAGTAAAGTAGGAATTGTTATAAATGTACATTTGGAGGAAGGCAAAGTAGTTTTATACAGATTTGATAGCAAACAGCATAATTCCTATAGTTGCACCTCTTGTTTGGCAAAAACTTCCTTTTTATGTTTGTTGAATAATTAATAATTAACCTCAAATAGCCATGTCAAGCCATCTCAACGGTATATTTGCAATTCGATTTAAATAAATATTTTTATTAAAAAGCGTCGAAAATAGAACAGAACTCACCTATATTTTTGTTCTCACTTCACACTCGGGCTCGGACTCTTCTTTCTACCGACAATTCTTCACCTAATCAATAATATAAAAATGAATCGCAAAATGTGTTGGTAAGAGCATAACTCAACAACGCCTAGACCAATTTGGCCAATTCTTTTTGCGGCGAAAACTTATTTAGAATCGTTGTGAATTCAAAATTAATGAAACGACACTAAAAAGAGACAAACATATTCGTTTATATGGTTTAACCTGCAAGAGAATAATACAGTGTTTTATCGTATCTCCGTCTCCTATTTGTACGATGCTTCGTAGACTGCCGCAAGCCACTTGATTCTGAATATTTTCTGAATATACTATAATAACGTTCTTTATATCAAAAACTAATGCCAATAAGTGTCGTGAATATCGAATATTAAGTAACTTTTACACTTGGTTCCAATATTATAATAAATAAACCCTATAATTATCCCATTCCTGATACTACTTTCGTCTTATTCTCTCACAGTACAGTGTTCTGAAGGTTTTACATCAACCGTATGTGAACTGCACACATGTACCTATCTCTGTATCTCGTGAACTAATTGACTTTTTTTAGAATTTGTCACCGTTATATTAAAGTTCAAGATTTTCTCTACACGATGCATACTTTTTCAATCTTCCATGCCTTTCGCAAGTGCCCTGAAATGCCATTTGAAAATTGGCATTTTTCAAAAAAATTTAAAACATTTTGGCGGAGGCGCATGAGATTTAAACGAATTGTTTTATTAAATACTAAGAACTACCTGATTGTGTAGAGACGTATGTAATTATACAATTTAAATAAATTTTCACCTAATAGCAGTAAGGAATTTATCAGTAAATCTCATTAAGTGAAACGTGCACTCCCATCGAGACTTAAGAATAAATTATCTCAGGAACTAAGAGAAAAGAGATAAACAAAAACCAAAAAACAGCAAGATGTTCAGCATTAAATTCTTGAAAAGATAATATTTAAATAATTTGAAATATAACATGTGCCTAAAAAAATTTCCTCTGCGATTTTCTCGGAAAATAATAAAGATAGAAAATTACTTTCTTCATTTTGTTCATGCCGTGATACGGATCTATAAAATGGCAGATTTAGTTTTTCCATTTTCCAAAGTTGACCAAAGACCTCTCAAAAAGATCAAGAGTTACACTTGACTCTTTTTGGACTCAAAAAAATTTTGTTACGCTAGAAGAAAATGGAAAACGCTCATCGATTGAGTTTTTCAAGGGGATAAAAGATATCAAGTCAGTTTTTTGATAACATCATTATTTTCCCGATTATCCCCAAATGTTTCTAATTGAAGTAAGACTTTTCATGTTATTGACCATTTTTAATTATTACGATAACTAAAAATTTTAATATATTATATTATGTAAAATGTAATTCTACATACAAATATGAAAACCGTTTTTCTCTATCTCAAATGGTTTTCAAGATAAATGCAAAAACTGGTTTCTGGAAAAAAATGCACATTTCACGTAATGAAATTTATTGGAAAATTCCTTACTGCTATTAGGTGAAAAGTTGTTTAAATTGTATCATTAAGAGCTCCTCAACACAATGAGGTAGTTCTCAATATTTATTTAAACAATTTTTTTAATGTCAGGCGCCTCCGCCATTTTTTTTCATAATAAATAACTTTTATTAAATTTAAAAAAATCTATTCAAAATTCTAATTTTTTAATTTAATGTTTTGACGGAAAACTTTAAGAAAAAAAGTTTGATTCGGTTGTTCAAACAAAAAAAAATTTAAAAAAAGTTGAACCCTGTTATTCGACTAAAAAAAATTCGACCTTGTTCTTTGACCAAAAAAATAAAGAAAATATTCGACCCTGTCCTTCGACCAAAAAAAAAATGTTAGCAAAAAGTTCGACCTTGTTATTCGACCAAATAAAGAAATTTTTTGAACAAAAATGGCTATTTTTGAAGTGCTTTGTAGGGCACTTTTGAAAGGGTTAGGGGGTTGAAAAGATATGGATCGTATGGAGAAACTGTTGAGTCTTAAGATGGCGGTAAAATATTAAAAAAGTCCAATAGTTCACTAGATACAAAGTGTTTTTCACACCATGTTTTAATTTTTTTTAAAAATGCAAATTTTCAAATGAGAGAAAAAGATTGAAAAGGTATGCATCGTGTCTATCATGGCGGTGAGAAATTATAAAAGAGTCGTATAGTTCGGGAGATACTGGGTGTTATTTTGCAGACCACAATAAAAACGAAATTTTCCAGAAATACGATAAATCTCTGACAAAAGCAACGTGCCGAAACCAGGGATTGAACCAGGGGCTTTTAGATCTTCAGCTCTCCCAACTGAGCTAATTCGGCAAAGGATTGTTGCAATAATACTACACAAATAATTGTTTTCATACAAATAAGAAATTTCAATTTCTGAAATACATTTTAAATCAAATACCGAATCATTTTGATGTGATACAGGATGACCGA